AGGTAGATAACAGGTTATATTATCTTAGCCCATTATAAAAAAAGTGCCAACAAAAATAAAAATAAAATAAATAAAATAAAAAATAAATTGACACAACGAGCAGTGCACAGTGGAACGAATGAGTTTTTGTGGGTTTATTTGTGTGAAGGAGGATGAAGGATAATATAGAACAACACTAGTAATTCCATAAATATACATAAATTCAATATATATCTAAATAGCATAATATAGAACAAAATCATTCAAAAAGTCTGTTAAACCAATAAAATAGGATGAAATGAATTGATGAGAGAGAGAGAGTTATTACAAGTAGTATAAAAAGTATAAATAAATATTTATATACTAGCCTGGGAGGCTCTAAGGCCGAGCTTCTGAATTAGAGTCTGAGGCCTTTTTATTAAACGAGCTTTTATACAAGTCCAAGTCTGGTTTCAACACGAGCTTTTATTAAATGAGCTCAGGCCTTTACGAGCCGAGCCAAAGACCTCTGGCTCGTTTACCACCCCTAATTACTAGTGAGTCCAACACCCAGATCTCACCGGTGGAGCCATCAAAATTATAATATATTGGATTGAATAATAGTTTGAAAATTATATCAATTTAATACTTTTCTTTAAAATTTGTATTTTTTGTATAACACGAAATTTGTATTTATTTGATAAAGGCCAATAACATTTCATATTAATATAAAAGGATTAATGTTTCTCATGTCGTAGGAGATAATTTTATTTCTTACACATAAATAAAAGTGTGTGAAATTCATATTTTTTTCTTTCTTATCTTGACACAAACTTCATATATTTTTATATATGCATAAATACATAAATATATAAATTATCTCTTATAATAAAAAAAAATCAATCCCTGGTATAAATGCACAAATGATTAAAATATTGTTCTTCAAGCAAACAAGCTTAATTTAATGTACTAATAACGCCAATAAGCACATTTTTTTTGAACATGTACGACTGTACAACGTCTCCCCTTTGAAACAAACCAAAATCATAACATTTTTTTATTTACTCAAAATGGAAGGTTATATTTATAAACTTTTTTATTTACAGATTCTTACAAATTACATTATGTTCTCTCGCGATAACACTAGATTACACTATGTTCTCCCGGGAGAACATAGTATATTTGTAAAAAAAGTTTGTAAACAGATCCTTCTCCTCATTCAAAATATGGTGACATAGGTTTTGATTTAAATAGATTAGACTTATATAAAAGACTTCAAGTCTGGTCTAACATAGGTTTTGATTCAAGAGTGTATGACCGACCATGCTTAGTGTAATTTGTAACAAAATATGGGGTTATCGTTTCTTAAGTTGCTGGACTTCTAGCTATGAATCATGACCATACATGGGTGGGTAAAAATATTAAATATGGGGAATAAATGAAAATCAACGATCGAGATGAGGATTACTAGCTGGACGTCCAACAACTTGAGAAATAATTTCACCTATATATATATATATATATATATATATATATATATATATATATATAGGGTCAGGATCATTTTACATTGTATAAGTTACACTTTCAATCTTAATCGTTGATCCTATTTATATCTAACGGTTTTAATTTATTAGATATTTGAGCCGTAAGAATATCATGCCTAACATATATATGTAGGTGTTAACATTTCTCCAGCCACTTGAGATGAACTTATATTATCTCAAGCTACCCTTTTAATTATGTACTATGGTAATACATAGTTATAACGTTAAAATTTATTTTTTTCTCTTCTCAGTTACTTTTCAGAACTTGTCTGTTAACGTGAGAAGAGAGAAAAAAATAACTTTAATATTATAACTATGTACTACTCGTAGTAGATAGTTAAAAAGAATAATTTGAGATAAGTTTATCTCTTGTGGCTAGAGAAATTTTTTTTCCATATATATATATTTGTTTTTGGTCGACCATATTTGAGCGCCTATTAGTTACTTAGGCACAATTAACCGTAAATTTGTGCATCTAAAATGAACTCCAGGGTTAAATAATATGCTTATACTTAGCACCTTTTTCTTATGTTAAATTGCAACTTAACAAATGGTTTTATGTAGAACACACAAGATTAGAGTGGGTAAATAATTAAATGGTAAATATGAAAAAAAAATTGAGGTAGGATATTTTTACTACTAATTTTTTCTACTATTACTCTAATCACCTTTGGATTAGAGGAAAAATTGAATGAAAAGAAAAAAAACTTTTGAATTCAATGATAATAAAATGATAGTAGAAAAAATTGATAGTAAAAATATCGTACCTCATTTTCTTATGGCAAAACAAACAGCGCACAACACAAATGATATTGCTGTAAATTTTGCATTGTTCTATATCATATTTATGTGCATAAAACTACAAACAAAATATAATTACTCGTATTGTGCATCCATTGCTAAACATCACACAAAATAATTTTTTTCCATGAATTAACTAATTGCATAATAATGTTCTACTTGTAATGTCCCCAATATGCATCAAACACAGCCATGATATTTTCTCTCTTATTTTCATGCCTAAAATAATTTGTCAATACAAATGTTCAAAGCCCACAAGAACTTACATGACAAGCAACCACCCTGTCACACTCTTTATTAACTAAAATCAAATTCCTCTCATACAATAATATTGTACATATCTTTTATATTTATAGCATATCTTTTATATCTATCACATGCAATTGACATATCTTGATATTAATTATAAAATCTTGAGTAATTCAATAAAATAAAAAACTAACATGAATCTTTCAAATCGGAATTCGAGTCAAACAACATCTTGCGGAACGAGTTATACAAAAGCATCACGGATTCGTATCTTTGAATGTGAGCGTAGAAATATAATCAAATCACACATCTTCTATTTGCATACTTAATTGTCGTTTTCCAGAAAAACAAAAAAAGGATGTTGCAGCATGTTTACATAACGATCTGTTGTGGTGCTTTGGTGATCAGGGAAAAGTGTAACAATTTTAAAAAAAAATAAAAATGGTGGAGGAAAAAGTGAAAATTAATAACACCATACGGTGAATGTTGCCAAGGATTGCCAAAATCAAAGGCAAATTCCCTTGCTCCTTGATTCAACGCGCTTATCACACGTAAACGTAGTTACCTGCCCTGATTACGTACTAATGTTGTAACTCTTAGATTTTGGTTGCTTCTTATCTTGTGTCAATATGAAACTTAGATTTTTTCGCTGAAAGTAAAAAGGAAGAAAGTGCCGAGTGCATGCATCATTTGACTTTAAGATAAGTGCATGGGGTAAAAGAAAATCAAAATGGAAGGCCAAACTCTATGCCATTTACTTAAAATCATTTTCAATAAGAAAATAAAGATATTGGTTAATAACTTTTACGGGAGTAAAAGAAATTTATGAGAATCAGCATACGATTGTCACAAATTTTTTATAAACTTTAAGATGGTCTTGTTTGAATCATTTAATAAAAATGTATAATGTAAGCAAAATATTTTCTATAGTTACACGATAGTATGCCTATGAATTTTTGAGGATAAGTATATGTAACTATCATTATTAATTTCTTTTAGATCTATATTTAAATTTTTCCATTTTGAGTTGCACAGGCCCACTTGCTAGCCTGGCTATTTATTAAAAATCTGTTAAAACTAAATATGCTTACATCCAAATTTATTATAGGTGGAACCCATATATAACGTTATTCAATTTGCCAATATCTGTAACCATATAATGGATAAATCCGTTCTACAATTATTTATTTATTTTGAGATTTTTTTTTTTTAAGATATTCCAATCGGTTCAATTCTTCGCAACTAGTCCGATTCGGGGCAAGTCCAGAATTAAGGCTTTAAACCCCTCCCAAAGGTGGTACTGGAGAGATTTTTCTTCTTATCATCGATTAATCAACTAATCTGGTTAAGTCGGGTAGGACCATAAAGATGACAAAACTTTCCCAATTAAATTGTAAAATCTCTTTTATCTGCATAAACCATTGCTAGTAAACTAATAAATTAATGTTCATAAACTATTGCTGGTAGATTAATACATGTTCACCAGATTATCAGACGACCACAAGTTTATATTCATGGAAAAGGAATTAGAAAACCAAGTTGATCTGTTGTATAAATAGAATACATGCATGTTTACAAGTTCCAAGAAGGTGTCTTCATGCGTGTATCATATGTTTTTGTGTATGGCAACAGCTAAAGTCTGAAGTATCCTCGTGACTATTCCCTACCAGAACTTTCAAAAGCTTATTAGACCAAACCGTACAAGTAGGTGAAGTTCATCAAAGGGGGCTTACTCTTTTTGTAGTACAATCTAAATTTGAGTAATAACAAGAAAAAGAAAAGAAAAGAAAAAGCAGATTCAAGATGCAGTGAGCCAGTGACAAAATTGCCAGGTAGATCCATATAGAAATGACTATACAGGATAAAGTAGAAACTGGTAAATAAATTTGGCATTACAGTGGCAGATATAACATGGCTTTTAATATGTTTCTTTTTTCTTTTTTCTGGTTAAATTTGTTAGGTAACAGCAAACATGAACAACCCTTTTTTGACTTAAAAATCTGTTTGACCACACACACACACACATTTTTGTCCACAAAATCAATTAGGTGAAAAGTGTTAAAGAACAACTCTTAAACGAACTTTACCTTGAGATTATATAATTCAATTTCTAATTTTGTTTAACACATGATTACACTCATCTAGATTTTATACTTTTTCTTAAAATTCAGACCTATATGAATCTCTCCTTAAGTAAAACAAAATTGATACTTGAGATGAAATGCATAAACCCATTATGGTAAGAGGGTCAGAAAATCTATGGGTCTTCATAAGCTAAGGTCTCTAATAAAGTTTAGAATTATGACGAAAATTAAACCAGAAAAGATGACGTTTACCCAGAGAAATGGAAGTTGGAAGTGTTAGACAAGCAAAGTTACCTAAAACAGAAGATTATTGCTTTAAAAGGTGATGGAACTAAAATCTCAGCCAAGAAAACCATAGATATCCACATGGCCACAAAACATAAAAATCACAAGGGACAAATGAAAGGACAAGAATTACAATGTCAGACTTTGTAGTTTAAATCTCTTTTCATTTCCTGATCTTAGATCTAGTCTGACTGTACTCTGAAGATCCTCTGTCAAAAAGATCCAAAACCCTTCTCTTATCCATTGCTCCCTTTCATCATTCAAATCTTAGACCAACTCTGCCATATTAAGTCCATACGTGCTTTTACAGCTAAGTTTGTTCCACAAGAATACGGCACACCTCGAAGGTCCAAGTGCATTCAACTCAGGTTCAAGGTACAAAGTACCAACACGCCTACGTATTCTCTGAACTTGCATGAAAGCTTTACTTGGTTTCTCATCCCAAGGTACGTTTCTCAGTTAGTTCAGCCCATACCAATTTTGTTTTTAGCTCTTAACTTGTTCGTATCTAATCATGTCTCCTTTTTCCTATGTATATATAGCTTCAGTAAATTAGATCATGTGAAGCATAAGCAGGAAAAAGAAAAAAATTGATCTTGTTTCAATTACTGGAAACTTGATCTTTTATTACTTTAACGGGCTTCCAAAAAAAAACTATGGTTAGATCCTGCTGGAAACCAAGTGGAGAAGGTGATGATGAGCTGCTATGGTACAAGGATTTGGGGAACCATCTTTATGGGGAATTCTCAATGGCTGTAATTCAAGCCAATAGTTCATTGGAGGATTGTAGCCAACTCGAATCTGGACCCTTGAGTTCTGATTACTTGGGTCCTCAAGGGACCTTTGTTGGTGTATATGATGGTCATGGTGGAACTGCAGCCTCGCAGTTTGTCAGTGACAATCTTTTCTGCAATTTCAAGAGTATGCTCTCAACTTTATTGTGTAATATATGTATATATATTGGACATGTAGCTTTGCTGTGTGCTGCTTTTCAAATGAATTGAAGACTAGGAAAACCAAACCACTTATATGTTGTTCCATGACCCAACTATTCAAAACTTTGATATCCTTGAAATCATTGTAAACGGGAAAAGAAATAATAGTTTACGAAATTTCAACTCTTTAACAAGAATAACTTTGTTTTCTCATTAACTTTGTTGTGGTAGTACTAACTGGATCATTTTTCTGTGTGAACCAGGTTTTGCTGCTGAACATCAAGGTATTTCAGAACATGTTATCAGAAGGGCCTTTTCAACAACAGAAGAGGGTTTTCTCTCTCTTGTTAAGAAACAGTGGCTAAGCAAGCCACAGATTGCATACACGGGTTCATGTTGTTTGGCGGGGATAATTTGCAATGGCATGCTATATATTGCAAACGCTGGAGACTCAAGGGCAGTGTTAGGAAGAATAGAGAGGGCAACAAGGGAAACATTAGCTATTCAATTATCTACAGAACACAACGTTAACATAAAAACAGAGAGAGATGAACTTCTTTCAAAGCACCCTCATGATTCACAAATCGTGGTTATGAAGCATAGAGTTTGGCGTGTGAAAGGCCTCATACAGGTAGAAATCTGAGAGATTCATATTACTTTTTTTTAGTAGATAGATTCATATTACTTTTCGTTACCGAAGATTTTAGATTCTAGAGCCAAACTTTTTAAGCAAACAAAGGAAAGACTCAAATCTAGAGCAAAAACAATTTGTTTATATTATTTGTAGGAAAGAATTATGACCACTGCACGATCGGTTATGCTTGACATTGTTGAGAAGGCCATAAGCAACAACAAAGACTTTTAACTGCTGACAACCTAGAAGTCATATATCTAAAGTCCTTGTAGATAACTTGGAACCACTTATTACTCCAATTCCATGTTAACAGAACGTGCCTTTGCAGGTTTCAAGATCCATAGGTGATGCATATCTGAAGAAAGCAGAATTTAACAGGGAGCCTTTACCATATAAGTTTAGACTACATGAACCCTTCTCCAAGCCAATTCTAAGTTATGAACCATCAATATCAATGCATAAACTCCATCCCGACGATCAATTTATCATCTTTGCTTCTGATGGTTTATGGGAGCATCTTAGCAACCAAGAGGCTGTTAATATAGTCAGCAATAACCCACGCAATGTAAGGTTCCATTCTGTCAATTCAAGGGTGTTGTCTTATTCAAGAATCCTTTCTGACTATATTGGTACATGATTCATGTAACAGGGAATTGCTAGGCGGCTTGTGAAAGCTGCACTTCGAGAAGCAGCTAAGAAGAGAGAAATGAGATTCTCAGACCTCCAAAAGATTGAACAAGGGGTTAGGAGACACTTCCATGATGATATTACAGTAATTGTTGTATTTCTAAATCCCAAACTGATTGATAATAGTTCTCTCTGGGGTTCTCCTCTTTCAATCAGAGGAGGTGGACCTGCCAATTCTTAGTGCAAAGAATTCTGTACTTCCATTAAAACCCGTTTTCAGAATTCTTGTATAAAGCAGACATCACACTTCAACAACAGCAGCATGCTTTCCAAGCCCCTAAAGCAGTTTGTGGTTGTAGTTGGAGCTTGAAGATTCTCATGGAAAAAATTACTCTTTGGAAACCTATTATCAAGGGAGATATAAAAAAAAGGCACCAGCTCCCACCACCACAAAATCTAAAAAGGTCATTAGCAGTATGACATTTATGGTGACAGCTGAATATGAAAATAGAAACAATTTACATATTGAGATTAAAATGAAGCAATTATCACTATAACCAAGTAAGTTCTAAATGTCCCATAAACCCCCTTCCGAGTTGTGTTCACTTTATGATCCGGTTAAAGATATCATATATTTATTATAAATTTTGCTTATGTTTCCTACGCCAACGAATACTCAGCCTCAGGTCATATCTCATTAGCTCAAGCTCTGTAATTTGAATATTAATTTGTCTGCGTCAATTTTGTATTACTGAGATCTTTTTATGTATTTTTTTTAATATATTCACAGATTCATTAATTATCCCACTAGTCCGATTCAAACGCTACAACTTATTATAAGGGACGACTCTCCCAAAATCATTTTTACTATAAGACCCATGATATAAAATGACTCCCAAGATTATTTTTTCCATTCTCAAAGTTCGAACTCAAAACCTTGGTTAAAGGGAAGAAACTCCTTATCACTTGAATCACTAAATGTTCTAACAGATCTTGTTATGCATTTCAATTAAGGGCAAGGGAAATATTGCTGCTGCTTTTACAAGTGTATTGTAACGTGCTTAAAGATAGAAAAAGTGGGTTGTGCTAAAACAGACTAAACCAAACATGTTATTAAAGGTTATATACATTTGAAGATTACATTTATCTGGCAGAAAGAGATGAGATGATGTCCGGCATCTGTATTTGACCTCTCTTTTTTTGCCATTACATATCCATTATTCCCCAACCAATAACTATTCTATTATATCATAAATCATAAATGTAGTTTAAGGAAAGAAAATTAATAACAAAAATCATTCAAAGACAGATATGCAGAAGCGCTCCCGGTCAGTTTCAAGAGAAATCGAATTCATGTGTCCAATCACCAAACATATAGAATAGATACCTCAAGGACAAAAGGGCATTACTACGGTGCTCAATTTTTTTTCTTGAATATAATACCCATCAAGCATTTAATTAGCTGAGAATTAATCCTGAGTGCCATATAGGCCATCCGGGGTAACATAACACCCTGGATTAAGACACCCCCGGTAGGCTTGGAGGCTCTTACTGGGAATTAGAAGAAAATTTCCAGGTTATGCTTCGAGCTTCATAACTTAAAAAAAAGGAAAAAGATGTTTTGCATTTAGAGGGGTATTCATTTCCAAAAATGTTTTGCATAAAGTAATGATCCTTCCATTCATTTATACTAGCTAGCATAAGTATGCCCCAGAAACAGGACATCTCCATTCTCCAAACTTTGGTCCAAACAAACAGTTTAAAAATAAATTACAAGGAAATATTAAAGGAAAAAAGTAAAGAGTTCCCTCCACAACCAGACCCACAAATGTACAATTCTAACTTGTAAACTAAGAAACATCATCAAAGAGTTCACTTATCTTAAGATTACAGCAAAGATAATAAAAATGGGAAGCTACAGCCTTGGAAATAAACCGAGTTTTAAAACCTACTTGAAAGAAATTTACAGAATGCATCCACACCTTCAAGTTTTCATTTGAAACATACAGCTTACCATTATTCACCCACATTTTTTCATGTGCGAGTGCCACAAGATAGTACCAGGAACATAAGCTTCGATATTTCTGCTGATCCAGGAAAGTAGTAAAATAGCAAAACACCAAACGTGATATGTTACTACAAGCACCAAAATCCCTTCTCAAGGAACAGTTCTAATCAATACTACCCAGTACAGATGTGCTTTAATAGCTACTTTCCAGTAAGATCTAAACACAAAGTGTACGTCGTAGTAGGCATGAGCATACATTAACGAACAATTCAAAGGACAAATGGATTGAGAAAAAAACAATTACAGATGCAAGTCAAAATGCAGCCATTATCACTTATCAGTATTTCTATGTTCATAACCCCCCTCCCTATAACCATTAAAAAGCAAGAAAAAAAGAAAGAAAGAAAGAAAGAAAGAAAGAAATGTGAAGCAACATTAATGTTAACTTAACACTACCCCGTTCATCCTACTTGGAAGCTAAAAATATTTGAGGGCCTATTTTCTATTTTTCTCAGTAAATCATCACTCCTCAGAGACAGACTAAGAAACAAAGCCTATCCTAACATTAGCAGATTCTGGATCAGCATGATGCACCAACCTGGTACTATCTTTTAGCAGAATAATAATGGGCATTTGACAAGCAGCAGGTAAGAGGCAATGAGTGGATGGCAATGTTAAGGATGAAAGAAATTAAGAATATATAAGTTTCCTTCCTACAAAACCTGCATTCATTTTTTTTTTCTAGGCTGTAGATTCCAAAATTTAAACCTTTGCAGATTTTAAGATAAGTAACACTATGAAGATGTCTGTTAATTACCCAAACGAGTCACCTAGTAAGCCAACACTAAGACAAAAGAAAAGCAAGCTTCTACAGACCACTTGAATCTTTTCCATGGCTTAGAGGAAGGCATCCGTAAACATAAGAAAGATAAATGCATCTGATATGAAAAGTAGATATGGTGTGGAGGCCACTCTGTGAATCTTGAACTGCTAAAAACTAGACCTGCAGAATAGTTAAAGGAAAAGAAGCTCGTTAAACAAAAAAGATAATAATATCATAAATCAGATTTGAACTGAAGACATGTGTAATTTACCAAAGCAAAGGATAACAGGCAATAGCAAATACCATTGAGTAATTAGGGATAAGAGCTAACAGTATAAAGTAACTTACAAGAAAATTTCCTACAATTAAACATGCAAGCTACCACAGTCAGGTCCCTCCTACAGCTTTCCCTGCAATAGCTGCCTTCTAGTATACAAGAGAACAAACGGAACAGTCAACACAAGCATACACTTATTTCGACTTTCTATGACTCAAAGCTTAAGAAGTGACCAAAGGGCCTTACTGGCTCAATGTTTCCCTCGCCATTTACTTTAGGCAGAGAAGCTGATGATGAATCTGAAAACCTGGGAACAGATAACAGAAAGACTGATAAGATACCATGCATGCTCCATTCTCGTAAGCAACAGGAAACAGCTGTATATGAAATGGGAGAAACAAATTATGACATGAACCTACCTAAGAGCCCTTGCTTTCCTTTTATCTTCCTCCAAAGGGTCAGCCTTGGAAACCGGAGCAAACCTAGCAAGCCTAGCTTTCTTCTTTGCATCCTCATCAGAAGCAGTAGAGGGACTAGGCATCCCAAACCTGTGAAGTAGGATTAGTAACAGTGTTCACTCGTATTCCCAGTGAAAAAAGCCATGATTTAGAGGATAATATTAGAAAGGGGGAAATTTGAAAACCTCTCTGCCCTAGCCTTCCTCTTCAGCTCCTCTGATTTTGATGGCTCTGATCCCTGTACTGTGGACACAGTGCCAAACCTGCAAGTGAATAAAATGTGCAATCAAAACCGTTAGAGATATAATATAAGCCCGAGACGAAGCTTGGAAATGAATTCTGGCCATGGTGAATGCTTGACAATTACAAACATCAAATCCACTATTTTTTTTCTAAAACTAAGAGGTTACCAAACCAATCCACGAATATAGATACAAATAAGGTTCGCAAAAGAGTGAAATAATATGGATCACTGAACGCATATTAAGTTCGCTATCAAATAATATTAGATGAAAGGGCACATGCAACTGGAACATCAAACCCTAGAAATTGAAAAAGAAAAAGGAAAGGTAAAGAGAAAACAATTAGACCTTTCAGCTCGGGAATTACGCTTCTCTTTCTCGGACAGCTGAACAGAGATGCCAAATCGCTCAGCGCGGCGAACCTTCTTCTGAATATCGGAAAGCGGAGCATCGCTTCCCGCTTCAGCCGGAATCTCCTTGGATTCAACGGTGTCCGCGTCTTTGTCGGCAGGGATTGGATCTGCATCTGGTTTTGGTGAGGTGGGGTCCAGGGTTTTGTTAGGGTTTTCCAGCACCGGGTTGTTGTTGTTGTTATTGTCGTCGTCGGTGTGGGTGGTGGTGGTGGTGGTAGCAGAGGTTGCCATTGGAACTGGAAGATCGATTTGAAAAAGGAATGCCGAATGAGAAAGAGAAGGAGAACGAGAACGAGAGAATCAAACAACGCGAAGTCGTGAGCGTGCGATTCCTATTCCCTCTGTTTACACTATCTAGTTGTTGGGTTATGCAGACAACACATCTATATGACATACGACAAGACACACGACACGACACTCCTATATCTTAATTTTAACAAATATTAGAGACGTTAAGATACATTTTGATATTAAATAATATTTTTAGTCTAAAATTATGATATGAGTATGCATGACTAAGTAGTATTTCATATAACATATATCCCATGAATTTCCAATATCAGAATGCTGTATAACAATTATTTTCCAAAACATAATGCAAATAACGCATACAGAATTTAGATTCAGCATAGTATATCCATGAACAAAATGTGGGTGATGCATACAGAATTTAAATCCAAAGCATGAGAGCAACAATTCACAATCCATGTACTAGCTAGCAGTAACAGAAGGTAATGCCACCAGACATTTACCTCGCGCGTCCCAATTAAATTTACCAAACAGGAGCGAAATAGTCCAAATTCTCAATGATTTTGTGCACCTAATTGACAAGTGGAACAAATCAAAATACGTCCCAAGCTATTCCTAAGAGTTACCAATAATCTTCCAAGTTTTAAGACTCTTAACCCATTCGGCCATCATGGTTCTTTTCCCAAAAATATATTCTGACTTTAAATTAATCTTTACCAACGTTTAACAGCGAGAATTTATTAAGATTTCCAACCAAGGCAGAATCAGTTTTGACACAAAAATTATTCAAGACTTTATTCATAAAATTTTCTGTTTCTCTACTCATGATGTGCGCAAAGGAGGACCTAGTTGTCATGTTGTATTTTTAATTTAAGAGGGACCTAGTCCAAATTAAGTTTTACCAAGACAGAATGCGTTTTATCTAATCAAAGCATCACGGGTAATTTATTCTAAAGCTCAACTAATCCATGTACTGTGCGCTTTAAGAGAGTCTAAGCATGTTGTATTTCTAAATAAAAATAATTATGAAAAGTAAGCATACGTTTGAGCACGCATCTTATAGGCATACCCCGGTACCAGGGTTCTGGGACACTTGGCTTCAGTCCGCTTAGGTACACTTGGAGCCCTTCTGAGGAGCCACCGGGATTCTCCACTGTTCTGTTAGTGATACGTGCACCGTAGTGCTATGAACGTACACTTCTGGCGTTATATACGCACTTTGATTATGATTAGTATTTGATGGATCTGAACTGATGATGCGACTGTTTTGTAATTCTGTATCTGGTTAGTACTGTTGCATTTGGTTTTGTTATCACACTACTGGGATTTTTCTCACCCTTTTGGGGCTGCTATTTTTATAAAATGGCAGGAGGAGGGAAGAACATTTGAAGACATGATTATATAGACATTTCGCAGTTATGTGCTGCTGTTTGAACAATTGCTGTTACTGTTTGACTGTTGGATGACTATATAAATATTTTGAGAGGTTGGATTATTTTTTTACGCATGATTTAGTTACTGTTTTGAGACTTTCTAATCAGTTAGTACCTTGGATAATTCTGAAAACGTTTTGCGGAAATAACTTCTGAACGTGTATTCTAAGTGCTATTTTTTTTAGAAACTGATTTTGCGAGGACTTTGCAAGTTGTCGTTCTGGGGCTACAGACTTCCGAATGAGGCATAATTTATATGCACGTAAAGCCCCAGATGTGTACTTTCAGATTATGTACAAATTATGTTCAAACTATGTAAGCACGACTTATTATGATTTTTGCAAGTCAACAGGTTTTTAGAAAAATACACTGAATTCGCGAGCACCTTGCGAGTTCTGTTTCGTGGGGCTATTCACTTTCGAATCGCTTATAATTTATATGTACGCGAAGCCCCGGATGTCTAGTTTCTCCGTAGCATTAAATATGTTTTTAAGCTGTTGAACTCGATTTTATACAGATTTTATAAGACATCAAGGTTTTCTGAAAAGTTTAGAAATTTCAGCAAACAGTTTATTCTTGAAATTACCACTGTTTCATAAGAAATTTAATTTCACTCTAAGGTTTTTAATGAAGAATTAAACCTGAAACTTTTAAATTGGATAAGCTTTCATCTTGTCGCAACGTTAGGATTAAGTTTTTAAAAATTGAGTTCTTTACCGCTGCGACTCTAAGTCTCTAATACGATTTAGCAAACAACTCTCTTGGATGCATACAATATAATATAACTTAATGTATATTATATTCAATATTCAATAATTTAACAAAAAAATAAAACTAAACTTATAATATTCATCAATTTTATAAAGAAACATAAGATATCATAAATATTTATATTAAACTCAATAAAATGGTAATCGTAATCCAACGAATTTAATAGTTAGAACTAAAAACTCAACGCAACGCAACTTTTAAACCTTTTTTTGAATTTCTATAATGCGTATTAGAGTGTCAGAGTGTGTCGAAAAGTGTCGGACACGACACATTAGAACTGTTTGTTCCATTTTCTAAATCGTTAATTAGCAAATTATTATTATTAAAGTATATGATTATATCGTTAATGGGTTAAAAATTTGTCCTTTTAAAACAACGCAAGTGCTTTTAGTAATTTATAAATATATATTAATGATAATATCTAATTATAATGTTAATGTTATATTTTTTTATTTTCCACATCAGTAAATAATACAAGTTTAATATTATAATTATATATTGCCCTTAATACATAATTATAAATTGCTAAAAGAATATAAGTTATACCATAAATCATTTCCCCATCATTAAATTTTGATGGGAATTACCATTTGATCAAAGAAAAAATATTAAAAAGTTTATAAAGAAAGAGAAAATGTCGATCTAATAATGATTAAATAGATAGTGAATTGATAGTGATTTTTTTGGATAGAATTTGATTAAATAAAAATTACGATGGGTGCGGGCTAATGGTCCTGGGCCGAAGTAGTGAGTCCAAGAACAAAAATGTTCCCTATACTGATGAATGAGGTCGAATTCAAATAGGAAAAAAAATTAATTTGTTGTTTTTTTAATAAAAAATTATGAATATGTAGTCATTTTAAAAATAATTACGAAAATATAATACTCAAACACGCCCACATGGGGCGTGTTCCAATGGACAGACACACGCCCATGTGAGGTGTGAGTTATACGAGAGACACGCCCAAATAAGGCGTGATCAGGAGAGAGACACTTCCAACAGGGGCGTGAGTGATTTGGAGAGAGACACTCCCCATTTGGGCATGACCCAGAACAGAGATACTCCCCATTTGGGCGTGTTTCACCAGGTGCTGCCACGTGTCACAAGAGTCCCATAAAACTTTGGAAGTCTATAACTTTTGATTCGGGTGTCCAAATTAGGTAAAAAAAAATTTGATTCCACATAACTTTTCGAGATCTACGTAATGACATCTCATTTGGCATATTTTGTCTGTCACAAAAAAAAATTGAATTTACAACAATGATACCATAAGAACGTTTAAACCCAAATTAATAAAGAGAAAACCACTTTTTAATTAGGTTAAAAAATAGGAGAAGGTTATAGTTACTATCTCTTTATTAAGTTGGGTTTTAACCTTCTCCTAATTAAAAAAGTGATTTTCTCTTTATTAATTTGAGTTTAAACGTTCTTATGGTATCATTGTTGTATATTCAATTTTTTTATTGACAGACAAAATATGTCAAATGAGATGTATTACGTAGAACTCGAAAAGTTATGTGGAATCAATTTTTTTTTTACCTAATTCGGATACCCGAGTCAAAAGTTATGAACTTCCAAAGTTTTACAGTCAAACTGGTGACTTTTGTATCACGTGGCAGCACATGGTGAAACACGCTCCAATAAAGAGTGTCTCTCTCATGAGTCACGTCCAAATGAAGAGTGTCTCTCTCCAACCGGTCATGTCCATGTGGAGTGTGTTTGAATGCTATATTTGCGTAAATAATTTTAAAACACTACCTTCGTAATTTTTTTATTAAAAAAGCAACAAATTAATTTTTTTTTGCCAATTCATATATGGTAACAAATTAAATCACGCTATCCTTCCTTACGATTATGAAATCTATCTCCGTTTCTATTGCTCAGATCTTAAACGGTTAAATGCCTGTAGTTAACATATATTAGTGACAAAGATGATGTCCGGTTAAATGCCATGATATTAATTATTCACTGACCAATAAGTTTTCAATTCAGGTTTTATTTTGTATAAATGTAACTCAAGGAAAAATAATTAATAACCAAATCCATAGAAAAATTGTTATGTAAAAGCGCTCATCCCTCAAGCACAAATTGTTCGGAAGGGTTGGGACTTGTGTTCTATGGTTTCAGACTAGACTTGCCTTTTATTTGTTCCTCAGTTTTATGTATTTGGCGGGCTTAATTAGAAAATGGTTATGCAAAGTTTTTTTGTTTTTTTGTTTTGGTTTAAGTTGAAAATCGTTACTCTTTGTCCCTAAGCCATTGCCATAGAATAACAAGTCAAACCTATACCATTGTGGGAGGTAATGAAGCATACAAAGCAGTAATTTCCATTGCATCATACAGACATACAGATACCACAAAACTATAATGAACACAGAACGCAATGACACAGAAAACAAGATCACAAATCAAAATGAAAGAGTGAAAGACCATTGACTTGTTTGGTATAAGAGCTAGCAGAATAAATTAACTTATAAGAATATTTCCAACAATTATAGACATAAGCTTACATTCAGGCCCCTCCTCCAGCTTTGCCCGCAATAGCTGCCTTCTATTCTAGAACAAACAGACCAGTCAAGACAAGCATATACTTTTTTCATCTTCCTATGACTCAATGCATTGGAAAGGCTAAATGTTTCCTTCAACATTAACTTGAGATAGAGACCTTGATGATGGATTTAAAAACCTGGGAACAGAAAACTGAAAGACTTGATAAGATACTATGCATGCTAGATTCTTACACGCTATAGGAAACATCTATTATATATAACGGGGGAGAAAAAATAGGATATGCACCTGCCTGAGTGCCCTTGCTTTCCTTTTATTTTCCTCCACAGGAAAAGTATTATAAACCAATGCAAACCTAGCAAGATGGGCCTTTTATTTTCCCTTAATCACACGGTTCCTTGCTTAAAAACCATTTAAGTATAGGTACAATAATATAACTAAGTGTTATTTTTACCCAAACCTTTGCAACTTTGGGTATTTTGACTGAAATGCATCAATCCACAATATTAGTACATGCTCTTCAATTTCATTGGTTAATGATGCATGTAAGTATGATCTTTTTTGGTTTCCAAGGTATTCTCCCGCCGACAGCCGGAGACTAATCCTTTCGAAGCGGGAGATCACATTAAGTGGGTAAACCTCTCCCAATAAAGCTTTTTCCATACACACGGCCAGGGATCGAATCCCTGTCAGCATGCTTAAGGAACCCAGTTATCTACTAACTGTGTTGGGCTTTGTTGGTAGTATGATCTTGGGCTATGCAGCCCTTTTATGTGGATCATTATTCTCAATAACAATTTTAGTCATTATATTTCGAAAAGTCATAAAAATTCTTAATAGAAGCAAGAAATTTCTTTTTTAAGTTAATCATTTTCTTTTGCAGGAATCAAATACATGAATAGGAATGAAAGGATTATTAAATGAATATTCTTTTTGATACCAAATTCAAAATTAGTGTCATTCCTTTACTTAATTGCGAATCTATTTATTGCAAGAAAATAAGATTTATTTATTACATTTGTCCATTTTGAATTTCCAATTGTAAAACCAACCCCCCAGTTAAGAAAAATGAATAGAAGGTTCTTGTATTGAATCTCTCTCCTTACCGGTTCATCAACCAATGCAGCTCCGAAAACATTGCTAGAGAATATCTCACGTATACTCTTATATTTTCCTACTCTACATCAGTTTATGTCTTTATGTCATATTTGGGGGCCACTTGTTGAGTGTTCCATAAAGTTTAGACGGACATGTACTTCAGAAATGAAAATACGTTTTTTAGAAAAAAGAAACGAGCAAATTATACACACAACTGCAGACTGGGAAACATATTCAATAGGTTACTGGATATGCAATACATATCCCAGATTTAAGCTGATTCCTGATGGGAAAAACCAGCCCAATCCAACCATCTGTAGTTTTTGAGTCCTGATGGGGTTTCATTTTCCAATTGCGCATAGTATCAAAATCCGAAGCTACACTAATTCAAATATTCACCTCCAATCATCCAAATAACCACTTAAAATGTTACATATATAACTTAACAGACAACTAAGAGCTAAAAGTAAAATACCAGATAGCCTACCATCATACAGTGTACAACCTAAAATCTAGAATTCCATTTTCACGAGTGCATTCGAAGCTTCAGCTGCTCCATACTGCATCCAGTCTTTGGCACATACAAGGGCCTCCACTGTCTCTGGTCGCAAGGAACTTCGATACTGATCCATCTCTTTGCTTTTTTTATCAAAGACAGACTCAGAAGGAACAGTAGAAACTGGAATAGTCAATATGTCCCGGGCCATCTTGGACAGAGTAGGGTACTTGAATTTGTTTAACTTCCACCAACCTAAAACATCAAAGTCCGGAACACGCGGTAACAGTGATTCTTCCAGGTACTGATCCAATTCAGACTTCATCTGTTGGCTAGTAGTTTCCATGATGTAGGCGTCAAAATCTGTAAGACCATTATCTGACAACAGAGTTCCTCCTGGGGATCCCTCCACCTTCATGTGGCTTCCAGCACTTCCTTCTTCCACATAAGCTGGTGTTAGTGGCAGGGGAAGGGCTACATACTCGTAAAATAGCTCATGAATCCCGTCATCAACAATCTTGATATACACATCAGCATTCTCACCGTAGATTTTTGTGAAACTGAATTCAACAAGCTTCATCTTGAAGCGAGGATCCATAACTACAGCAATCACCAAAACCAGACTACAATCTCTCCAGTACTTATCAATCTTTTCTTGCATAGATTTAGTAAGGTTGCTAATGAAGGGGTCCTCATTCATAACAGCACGAGTCAGGTCCAACTCCAATTTCCAAACTTCATGAAAGAAGGTAATAGCAGTCGGATGAGTTGTTGTGGTAAGAATGTTTGCTGCATCAAAAAGAGGCTTCAAGTATGTGCAGAGGGTCTCAACAAGCTTCCAATCTTGAATAGTCGGCCGCCCCTTGTAATCAGGATCAGAAGTGTCCAAACAAGAAAACACTTCCTTTAGCTCAGAAGCTGCTACCAGCATTTGATATGTTGTATTCCATTGGGTTTGGTCATCAATAAAAAGACTCCTTTCACTGGGGACCTGAAGTTGCTGCTTGAGCTCCAGGAATTTTTCCTCATGCGATTCTGAAGTCTTCACATATTTTACACTTTCCCGGATTTTATTGACGATGCCTTGTGCTAAGCTCAACAAATCATTAGCAACATTGCTTAAAGTACGGGCAATGCAATTTCCAATCAGTAACTGTCCATTGAGGATCAGTGGATTCTTCAGAGAGAGTAAAGGTCTGAGATTTTCAAGGGCAACTTCAGTAAGTGCCTGATTACAAGTGATAGAAAACAGCCTTCCCTCCAAATTCCAATCAGAAAGGCAAACTGCTACAGCATGGCTGATAGCAGAGTCAGAATCAGGGTATGGTTCCATAACAACATTAAGAATTCTCCTCTGCAACTTCCAATCAGTATCAACAAAATGTCCCGTAATAAACACATACCCTACAGATTGACTTGAGGTCCAGATGTCCAGTGTCAGACAAACACGTCCTGGTAATCTCTGAAAATACCTGATAAGGTTTTGCTTTTCCATCAGGTAAGTTGCAACACAGTCTCCTTGAACAGTGTTAAAGGTCACCATGTTGAACTGGGGCTGCAGATTTTTGACAAATGCAACAAATCCTGGATCCTCAACCATGTGAAGGGGGTGATCATGCATAATGATCATCCTGGCAATCTCATGACGGCCACGATCTTGATCAAAAACTTTGTAAGGAGTGATATGGGATCTATAACGTCGCTTTGGTGTATTGCTAGCATTTCCAGCACCACTTCCACTTAAACGTGGAGTATACGGAGTTAACTGATTTGGATCTTGATTATGCAGAAGAGCTGGGCATGTCCCCTTGGCAATGTGCCGCTTAAGGTGGCTGGTACCAGCAACTTTTGAACCGGTACTGTAGGCAAAGCTTTGCTTGCATCGATTGCAGCATGCCCTTCTACATCCAGGACTGACTGTTTCTATGGTAAAGTGTTCCCAGACCATAGACTTCTTTTTCCTCCTCTTAATCGGCTGTGTTTCTGGGGTATTTTCCTCATTGTTTGGTGGAGTTTCAGCATTTACTATCTCATACCTGGGAAGGGTGTTAGCACTGACTATCTCATAGTGTGCTTGAGAATTGACTAGCTGATTGTTGTGCAGTGTTTCACTATATGCCAGCTCATAGTGAGTCAAAGTTTGGGAATTGGCTAGCTGATCATGGGACAATGTTTCAGAGTTAGCCGGCTGATGGTTGGCCAGTGCCTCAGAATGGTCCAGATGATTGTTGGGCAGCATATCATACTCAGACAGATGGTTATGAGGTATTGGTTTGATGTCTGAGAGATGATTGTCTGCCAGTGGTTCAGAAGTAGGTGTCAGTTCTGAATTGGGTAGCGATTCAGGTTGAGGCAGCTGATCTTCAGGAATCATATGGAGATCAGTGAACTGATGATTTTTAGGAAGAGTTTCTGGATGGGAGAGCTGATTGTTGGGGTCTGTTGTAGAATTGGCCAACTCATTTTCAGAGTTAGCTGGCTGATGGTTGGCCAGTGCTTCAGAACGGTCCAGATGATTGTTGGGCAGAATACCATAATCAGGCAGATGGTTATGAGGTGTTGGTTTGATGTCTGTGAGATGACCATCTGCAAGTGTTTCAGAACTAGGTAGTGGTTCTGAATTCGGCAGTGATTCTGGTTGAGGCAGCTGATCTTCAGGAATCATATGGAGATTAGTGAACTGATGATTATCAGGAAGAGTTTCTGGATGGGAAAGCTGATTGTTAGGATCTGTCATGGAATTGGCCAACTCATTTTCTTGCAGAGCTTCGGACATGACCACATCACTGCTGATCTGTGCGTCATGTATAACAGTCTCATTGCTGGGATGTGTGTCAGACATGACTAACTCACTACAGGGCTGTGCAACAGATATGACCACCTCATTGCTTTGCTGTGTTTCAGATACAACTACCTCGTTGCTGTGCTGTGTTTCACATACAACCATCTCCTCATGGCCGTGCTGTGTTTCAGAATCGACCACCTCATTGCTATGCTGTGTTTCAGATACAACTACCTCGTTACTGTGCTGTGTTTCACATACAACCATCTCCTCATGGCCGTGCTGTGTTTCAGAAACGACCACCTCGTTGCTATGCTGTGTTTCAGATACAACCAACTCGTCAGTGCACTGTGTTTCGGATACAACCTCATCTTTAATATTCCGAATTTCAGAATTATCAACACCATTGTTAGGAAGTGCCTCATAATTGACCACTTGGTTGCTGGGTGGTGCCTCAAGGGCAGGATTCCTGTCAAGAGTTGCTTCGGAACTAACAATTTGATCGACAGGTGGTCCTTCAGAGTTGACCAACAGATTCTCGAGTGCTGCTTCCGAATCAACTGGCTGACTGTTGTGTGGGGCTGCAACATTGCCCAACTGGTTGTTAGGTAGCGATTCGGAATTCTGTGGCTCATTGTTTGGTGATTGTTTGGAGTAGTTCAACTCATTTGCATCACCAATAGTAGCCTGGGTTTCAGATGCAGGAAGTCCTTTGTTAGGTAGTGTTTTGGAATTGGAGAGATCATCGTTGTGAGAATTGGAATTTTCCACGTTACTGTTGGGCAAAGTTTCACAATTTCCCAGATCCTTGCTTGGTTGAGAATCAGTACTGACTAGCTGATTTTTTACATCAGGGGTCACCACCACTTTGTCTTCTTCAGGGGTAGCCATCTTGTTTTGATATATATCTTCCTGCATTTTACCCAGAAGAAACAAATGCTAATTAATGTTGAATTAAAATTGGCAAACATTTTCTAGACATGGATATAATATAGAGTACTACAGACATGAAGAAAACATGATATCACTGGTGCATGAGATCTCAAGTTAACAACCCTCCCATGAAAAATATATAGGATTATAATGAACTTGAACAATTAAACATAAGTTGCATTTGTCCACATCAATATTTACATCTTTATCAGAGTAGCATGCATAACACAAAATTTATGCAAGGTCAGGTGTGAACCCACTCTAATACATAATGGAAGGCGGCGGGGGGGGGGGGGGATAAATCCCCCATAAAAGCCTATTTTACAGACATCCTATCTCTTTGGAACAAACGCAAACGTTAGTATGCTATATTGTTAGCATACAAGACAATAGATAATACAAACAAATCAATTTCAAAGTGAATCATAAACCCATGCTTGCAGACACCAGGTGAAGTTTGCTTTTCTTTCTTCACTTCGTTTTAAGAGTCAAATTGAATCATAAACACATGATCATCATATTACTGGCATTCTTACATTGTTGACAAGAAGGCCCAAGACCAGGGTAGTACCTATGCCAGTTCAGCTGTTCTATCTATTCGTTTGTTAACAACACTATCACAATGTTCACAAATGTATCATATTCCATAAATCCATTAATTTAAGCCTGATATACACCACTCTGCATGAACCCAAAGAAAACATGGGCCCACAATTGGGTCAGATTGGCCCAATTCAATCATAATAGGAACATTTAATAATAATATGAAATGAACAACCCAACAGTTCATATTATAGATCAAGCACTACTCAGTACCCAGAGTCCACAAGACATAAATCATGCTCCAACCAAAACTGGTATATCAGATGAAGATTTCAATGGATTACCACTGCTGGAACTGATAAAAATTATATATAATGCGTTAACAAAAAAAATAACCAAATCCAATTACGTTATGATTTCGAGAAATCAAAGCTTAAAAAACTAAATAGGAGAAACACACTGTTTCATGAGAAAACCAAGAGTAGAAGTAAAAGATGCTTCAGCTGAAGGAAGATTTTCAAAAAATTCAACAAATCAGAAAGTTAGGGTTTGGGATCTACCAGCTATATGTCAACGGAATCGGACGGTATAAAAGCCGATCGGTAGTGTCGTATGCGGAAGCTCGGAAAACCGAGCTCCGGGGCTGACTGGAGTGAGATCTTGGGTTTTGCAGAGGAGTGAGCGAGAGAAAGAGATTGGGCTTGAGAACGAACCCAATAAGCTAATTGGACCTTCTTGGAGTTCGAGAGGTGCGAGGATGGTTCATACTTGCTGGTTGGGGAGATAGGGTTTTGAAAAGAATTAAAAATAGGGCAATACTTTTGGATTACGAATTTGGACTCTTAAGGTCCGTAATTATTATTTATTCATTTTATTGGTTTTATTTTCTTTTCTTTTTATGGCTTTTGGTACGAAGATTTGAGCCCGTTTGTTTGAATTTATAGAAAAAATAACTTTTATCTATTTCTTATTTTAAAAGTATTTTTTTATAAAAATTAAAGTTATTTATATTTTTATAAAAATATTTAATTTGAAAAAATATTTGATTTTTGATCTCTGTTATTTTAGAAGTTAAAATTTCTAATTTTTTAAAAAAGTAAAATTTTGATTTTTTTAGGACTTTTATTTTTTTTTTAAAGCAGTCATTCAAACGAACTTAAAATAAGAAGTGTTTTTTTTACTTCTAACAAAAGCATCTTTTAAAAAAAAAAATCATCGAAATTCCCAATCGAGACGGATCGTGAAGCCGTGCGTGCCTGCTTTTGTTGTACAAATTTTAGCCCAATCATATTTCCATGTTTTCTTGATGCTTTATCTCATGCTATCATTCAATTCGATCCAAACTCATCTTATCTTTTTTTTTTTTTTTTTTTCTTCACTAAATCGTGGAAAGGGTCAACAACAGGTTGTCTAGTCCGTGAATGATAGTTGTTTTGAAATTTTTGAAATAACATTTTGCAAAAAAGGATGATGTTGGCCTCAAAACTACGAATATTTGTTTTTTACAAGATAGAAAACAACCATTTTTCATCTCTTTAAGGGAAAAAAATAACATGACAAATCTCTCCAGTTGGGAAAAGGAGGGTGTAAAAAAATGCAAGTTAGTCTTAAGATCTTTTCATATAGGTGGTTAGGGATGGCAAAAACGAGTCAACCCGTTGGGTTGGCTCGTAACCCGTCCTAAATGAGTCGGGTTGGGTTGGCCTAAATGAGCTGCCAACCCGACTCAACCCGACCCGATACAACCCAGACCCAAACGAGCCAGCCCGCGGGTCAAACGGGCCAGCTCGCGGGTTGGGTATTTTTTTTTATTATAAAAAAAATGTCTGTACTAAAATAAATAAATAAATAAATAAATATATATATATATATATATATATATATATATATATATAATGAAAACTCCAAAGCTCGCTAACATCGTCGTCCTTGGATAGCAAAAGCAGAAACGTCTTTCTTTGCTTGATACAGATGGTAAAAGTTTTCATTTCTCTTGGAATATATTCGATTTCAATGTAGAACTTGTAACTTTGTGGTAATAGTTCGTTTTATATTTATCTGAACTCATTTTTTTTATGGGAATTTTTCAGTTGCTGGGTAAGCTATGACCTTTGGACCCACGGATCTGGTTTGCTGTAGAACATTGCAGGGTCATACAGGAAAGTGACAAACGCAACCCGCGAGCTTTTTTCCGAGCCAACCCGCGAGCTGATTATCGAGCCAACCCGCGAGTCAACCCTAACCCGGCTTGGGTAGGGCTGTGTTGGGTTTTCTGGCTCGTTTAATTTTTCGGGCCAACCCTAACCCGACCCGTTTTTTACAGGTTGAATACGGGTTGGGCCGGGTCGAGCCGGGTTGGCCCGTTTTGCCAACCCTATAGGTGGCATAACTTGTTGGTCTAAACTCTAAATCCTGTCAATCATTTGAAATTTTACATAATTGATGTGTTAAGTTTTGAATTTGGGGATAAAATATTCTACCTATTTTTTTCTTTATGTTTATCTTGTTTATTTATTTTCAATATCATTAGATCAGAATCTTAACTAATTTTTATCTTTTCTCTCCTCTCTTGAGATTATAATTCAATGATATTAGAGATGTGTAAGTAGTGCAGACATAAAAAAAGATAGACATAATATCATGTTGTTTGAATTTAATGTTTGGGATTTTTTTTACTATGAAAACTATATTGATCTTTAAAAATAGTAAGTCACAGTCAATAAGAGGAATGCTTTATTTTATCATTTTCTAAATTAAATTGTGAAGAAAAAAGAGAGGATAGACTTTGGGTTTAAATTTAAATTTTGTAAAGTCAAAATTTCGGCAATGGGTGGGAACTATTTGGGACATTTTTGTCCCAGCCCAAAATGTTTTTATATTATTGTTTTTGATAAATGAGCCTAAGTCCGTGAAAATGGGTAAAAAAGGAAGAAATTTGCATGACCACTTCGGCTCTTGCAGTTAGGGGTATAAATAAGTTAGGTTAGGTTAAATTAAATTTTGAGTTAAATAGGTTAGGCATGCGTAAAAAATATTGGATCTAACTTAGCCTGTTAGCCTATGTAAGTCCCAAATTATAAGTCTAGTCTGACCTATATTTAAAAAATAAAAGTCTTGGTCTAGGCTTGTTAGCCTGTTTAAGCCTATTAAACATTCAACAATTAAAAGGATAACTAAAATAATAATTTAATTTAATTTATTTAAAATAAATAATATGATATAGGCCGGCCTGTTGCCTTATAGGCCCGACATGTATAAAAAAGCCTATGGGCTATTTTCTAAATAGATATTTTTTAAAAGCCTAGGCTTGTTTTATTTTACTATTTGTAATAGGCCAAATCTGAATATAGGCTAGGTCATAGGTCTCTATAGACTGGCCTAACCCATTACTCCCCTACTTGCAGCTTACAAAGGAGTTTAAATTTTCATTTGTGAGTTATTTTTTTCCCCTTGTGAGTTTTTCATGTACTCTAATCTTATAATGAAACATCAAAATTTATAGAATCAAATTTGAAATTTTGTGAAAAGGGTTGGGATTAGGGGTGTAAATGGACTAAGTCGGATTACAAGAGCCTACGAACTAGCCTATATTAGGCCAGACTTAGCCTATTATAAATAATAAAATAGAACATGCCTAGATTTTTTAAAAAAACTATTTATAAAATAGGTCATAGGCTTTTTTGTACATGTCGGACCTATAAGCCTACAAGCTGACCTATATCATATTATTTATTTTAAATAAAATAAATGAAATTATTATTTTAGTAATTTTGAATAATAAAGTAATGTTATTTTTTTTTTAGATTGCTCCACCGGTTTTTGGCCTGACTATGTCCAGTCCGACCCGGGTAGGTTACCTAGCATTGGCAGGTGAGTCTCCCAATAAGTTATCTGCAATAAACCCAATACGACGTCGTTTTGGGGCGGAAATCATGGTGTTTTTGTAATTTTAATTTATTCCAGGGTTATTATAGACATAGTCTTTATAATTATAATTTTTTAATATTTCAATCCCAAAACGACATCGTTTTAGGAGTAAATGCAGATAACTTATCTGCAGTGCTGCAGAAATATTTTTCTGTTCTTTTAATTGTTGAATGTTTAACAAGCTTAAACAGACTCTCAGGCTTAGACCAAGACTTTTATTTTTTAAATATAGGTCAGGCTAGACTTGTAATTTGGGGTCTAAACAGGCTAAGAGGCTAGGCCAGATCCAATATTTTTTTTTACGCAGACCTAACCTATTTAAGCCAAAGTCTAGCCTAGCCTATTTACGCTCCTAATTGGGATCTAATTATCCAGAATTTTGTTTCTGCTTTTTTCTGTCCATAGTCTGTCATGTAGTCACATATATATAAAAAAAAATAAAAAAAATCTAAATATATACATCAAAACAATAAAAAAGAAATGGCAGAGGAAGGAGGGTGGTAACTGGTAAGTGACATGGAGAGCTAAGCTAATAAATAGTTTGCTTCTGTCAGGTGTGAAACTAATCCACATCCCAGTTCTTTTGAAATTATTTTAACAACGAATTATTACGTTGTTGGACTTTACAATAAAACAAAAACAAAAGCCTTACCATTCAAGATTCAACAGTCATCTCAAATAAATAAAGCCTTATTCTATATCATCCTTTAGTTGCCTTACAGATTCATCTTTCGGTATTCAAATCTGAAATCCCATCCCCCTAACTTGGTCAGTAGTTGACTCTGCGGCTTCTAGATCTTTCCAATTGATAGCTATGTAATAATGGATAATGTAATATTTACGAAATACAAAACATTATATAAATTTTTTGTAAGACTAAGGTTGCATTATATAGTAGCATTAACAATGTAATAATTCCTACCAAAGGCAAATAAGTCGTCATTGGTTGCGCCACACGGCACTAAAAATTTCTTATAAAAACAGAACAATCGTTACCTCGAATGTATTAAGTAAACACCACTCTGCTCTTCATCATACCAGATCACTAGCGTTTCTTACGAGCATAAGTTCAATGGCAACTGCGTAAGAATATATTTTTATTAATATTCCCAATTCAAAATTGTAGTTACTGTTTATCTGAATCGATTCGTTTTCTCTAACGTTGTCATGTAATCTAGAGGTGTGCAAGAAATTCGTCCTCCCACGCTGGCTCCCACCTCCGAACCACCATCTATTTTTGATGGAACTACAAGGTTTCTCATTTACTTATTAGATTCCAATTCAACCTGTTTTCATGGTTTTGCTTTTAGGTTCGCAACTTGGCATGCTCATATAGTATCTTATATTGGATTACTTTTTCTCTTTTTAAGGTTGTACATGAGTTATTCATGCCCATTTGCTCAACGCGTATGGATCACTAGGAACCACAAGGTTTTTTCTTTCTTTCTCTCTCTCTCTTTCTTTTTTATAGTACAAGGTTGTTTTCTCTTTTTATTCCTATGATCTATTGATATATTGGTTTTAATCAACTGTTATTCAATCTTTCGGTCATGGGTTCGAATCCAGTAAACAATTTTTATAAACTGTCTCAATTACTTGTTGCGTTATACTATTTAGTTTTCTGTTGAGATCTATCATGTAGAGGTACTCCAATTGGATCATTGATCAATTTTTATATTTTACTGTAAATCTAATTGGTTATTTACTTCCAATTACGTAAATAAATAGTTCAAATCGCACTCTTCTGTTTATGATGTAGTAAATAATCGATTTCTTGAATATCAGGGACTGCAAGACAATATCAAATTGGTTCCTATTGACCTTATGAACAAGCCTGCTTGGTATAAAGAGAAGGTTCACCCCGAAAACAAGGTGGGTAATTCTAAGGAAAAAAAAAAAAACCATGATCTATATGAAGCAATGTAAACTTGACATAACTATTTGATTTGCCTGATTGCTGATCATGTTCTCCTTATATTGTAGGTGCCATCTCTCGAACATGATGGCAAGGTTTTAGCAGAAAGTATTGACTTGATCAAATATGTAGATGCAAATTTTGAAGGGCCAGCACTATTGCCTAATGTAATAATGAAAGATTTATAGCTTATTGCATGAGAAAACCTTCCCTTTCCCCCGACTCATGTTCTTTGTGTGTTAATGGGGGTAATGATGCTAAGAAGACTTTTTCAGGACCCAGCCAAGAAGGAATTTGGTGAGGAGCTAATAATATATGTTGATACTTTCACCAAAGATGTGTTCACTTCATTCAGAGGCGATCCTATAACTCAAACCAGTAAGAACTACGTTTCTAACTTGAAGGAAATTATAGTAAACATAAAAGATGCCTTGTGAAAAATTGGTCATTTGAATCAGGTGCTTCGTTTGACTACGTGGAGAATGCTCTTGGTAAATTTGATGATGGGCCATTCTTCCTTGGCGAATTCAGTTTGGTAAGTTGAAAATTCAGGAGACTTGAAAATCAGATATCTTGATGTGAAAACTCTGTAACCATAATTATAATTTTTCTTTTTGAATAAATCATGGGGATTATCAGGTGGATATTGCCTATATTCCATTTGTTGAAAGGTTCCAAATCGTCTTCTCTGAGGTTTATAAGCATGACATCACAGCTGGAAGGCCTAAACTAGCAGCATGGATTGAGGTATTTCGGAATATTCTCTTTTGTTGAAATATATAAAACCATTAATGTAGCCTCACCAAAAAATTAAGCTTTTGAGTTGAATTGGTTATTTACATGGTATCAAAGCCTTGTGTCCCGGGTTCGATTCTTACCCAACTTGATTAAAAATTAAAACTTAACAATAAAGTAGTACTCAAAATTCATGTCTAAGATGAATCAAAGTATTTTCTTCATCTGTTCTTGAATGGTCCATATTTGGCCACGGCCCATAACATGGTTTTCACTTTTGATAGTAGGCCTCAGTAATAATTGCTTCAGATGTAGTATTGATTCTATAAAAAAAAATAGAGATTCGTTTTGGCTAACAGGTCAAACATCTTTTTGCAGGAGCTGAACAAAAACAATGCTTATAAGCAGACAAAACTTGATCCAGAAGAATTCGTTGACTTTTTCAAGAAGCGCTTCTTGGTATATAAAATAAAATAAATAAATTACAGTTGGATATAATATTACAATTACATTTCTTTGTGGTTAGTTTTCAAGGTATGCTTTTTGCCTCCTTGTTAATCTTCAATATCGCTGTTATGCAGGGTCAGTAGTAAACATCAGATGGCAACGGGTGTATATGACACAAGTAAATAAAGTGAGAGGTGCATGCATCATGGAATGCTTTTGAGTTTTTAAGCTGCTACGTATAAGCCTGTGTAATGGCTAGAGTTGCAGATAGTCTGAATTTGTAATAAAGGTTTCTGTACCAGTGTCTAATCTTGTACAATAATAACTAAATCAAGAAATGATTTATGTAAAGCTTGATAAGCTATATGCATGTAACTTTGTGTTAAATTTTATGGTTTCCACATATAGGATGTCGTTCTCGATCTCGTGATCTTGTCCTATTGATTGTATCACAAACACCAACAATGATACTATTACTCTTCATTAGTAAGTTAAAAATGTTAAATTGTACTTTATAGAAATACGAGATTGTTTTAACAACTGGAATCTCAATTGATGTTACAGCTGGTATAAGCGATATAATTTAAAGACATTTGATTACCATCAATCAACATTGTTAAAACACGGGAAAAAAAAGTAATTTATTATAAATTAAATAAAAAATTTGTTTTTAAATTATTTACGAGTGTATTGTAGGATATCACGTCCAGATTGGGCGTAATTAGTCACGCCCAATGTAAGCGTTATACCTCATAAAAACAAGCTTAAAAACGACGTCACACCAACCACGCTTGAGATAAGCCACCAGTGACGCCTACAAGAGGCGTGACCTTGTTAGTTGAAAACGAAAATCAAAACTCTGTACCAACACCGTCTGTAATTCAACCACTCATTTTCTATACATGATTTCTTCGGCTTTGAGAACAACAACAGGCAGCTTCTCTTGCCATTCCTTGTTCTTCTTAGTTGCGGGACTGTGAGCGTCACTCACAACCCTAATCAAACATATGGTGTGCAATAAAGTCAAGAGAATGCGCAAGCACAACAAGGGTAAAAACGATGAGGAAAGGGGAACGGGAGATGAACCCAGAACCTGAAAATCTGCTGAATGGGAAGAAGATGGACACAAATAATTGAGTGTTGTGTTTGTCTGTTGGGAGGAGTTTACATACTATACACACAGTGTAGTGTGGCAATGCTTTCTCTACTACATGGATTTTTGTTTGTTTGATGGGTCAATTACTACTTTCCCTTTGCCTCACTTGTCTTGCTGTTGGTGCCATTCTCATTCCACAATTTGTAATTGTCCGGTTTTGTTTTGGGGTAGTAGTAGCGAAAGAAGGGGTAGTAGCTTTCTTTCTCATTCTTGTTTTGTCTTCCCCAATAATTTAGAGAGTTTACCATTATCATTACCATGTTTTTGTTTTTATTTTATTTTTTTGTTTGATGTATTGTATTGTATTGGGCAAAAAAAGTAAGTACACAGCTGAATAACGTTTTCGTTTTTACAAGGTCACGCCTCTTACAGGCGTGACGTTATGAATGACGCCTACATCGAACATAAGCCAATCCGGACATAACATCCTGCAATACGCTCATAAATAATTTGAAAACAGCAATAAATTTGTAATTTTTTATTTAATTTACAATAAATTAATTTTTTTGACGGCACCTCAAACCTTCTCATCAAAGCATGTTTCATGAAAAGCCTGCAATTGGATGCCCCTTTAGAATATTTCATCTTTGTGAAGGATGTTATTTAAATTTTTACTTCCCAGCATTAAGAAATAAATATAACCGTTGGATCAACATAATCGATCTAACAGTAAATTGATTGGTAGTAACACTAATGGGTTGTTACAATATCATTTCCCTTAAAATGGACCCTGTATTTTTTCTTGAGGACGAAAAAAAAGTATTTACTCTTTTTAAAAAGAAGATTGCGTTTGGTGTTGGTTCCAAAATAACTCGGAGGCTTCTGGGTTTAAATGCTCTTATAGTACCATTGTTGCAAATTTGAATTGTTTTTGTGAGAGATAAAATATGCCAAATGAGATGTCATTGCGTAGATCTCGAAAAGTTATGTGGAATCAATTTTTTTTTACCTGATTCGGATACTCAAATCAAAAGTTATGGCCTTTAGAAGTTTTACGTTAATTTGTTAATTTTTTTTACACGTGTCAACGCCATATGAGTGATGCCTAACTTAGGCATAACTGGTGACGCCCAATCCGGACGTCAATACACGCATAAATAGTTTCAAAACAGCAATAAATTCAATATTTTTTATTTAAAATGCAATTAATTAATTTTCTTTGCCTTGAGGTGCCATATATGTTTGTAATAATGTATAAGAACATATTTTTAATGCAATATATCAAAAGTTTTGCATTTTTTAATGCAACTTAAAGAACATTATATTCCAAAGCAATGAACCGGTTGAAATATTTTCCAAAAAAAAAAAAGAACATTATATTCTCACCAATCTCTATCACACTTTTATATTGTGGCACTTTCTTTTCTCACAATATTATACACTATTTTTTTCAAACATTTGGTAGAAAGTATATATTTTACTATGACGTTAAGTATTCTTATTTATCGATGGACTAATCCATTTTGGTGCAATCATTAATTTCAGATCACAACTTACAAGATAAAGTCTCATTGTTGCAAATTTAAATTGTGTTTGTGAGAGTTAAAATATAGCAAATGAGGTGTCATTGCATAGATCTTAAAAGGTTATGTGGAATCAAAAAAAGAATTAACTGATTTGGATACCCGAGTCAAATTATGGTCTTTAGAAGTTTTATGGTTAAAATGTTAATTTTTTGTGACACGTGTCAACACCATATGAGTGACGCCTAACTTGGGTGTGACTGCCTCATGGGTGAAGCCTAACTTAGGCGTGACTGGTGACGCCCAATTTGAACGTGTCATTTTATAATAAATGCATAATTATTTTCAAAATTGTAATAAATTCATAATTTCTTATTTAAAATAGAATATATTAATTTTTTTGGCGAATAGAATAAGCTCCAACTTTGTTACTATATAAAATTGTTGATGCCACCCCAACAGTTAACCTATATTCTAAATTTCTTTTTAAGAAAATAAATATTATTATTTATTTTTTTCATGAGTAACTAACAAGAAGGAGCCGAATAGAAAAAAGGAAACTAATTAAATACAAATTAGTTGGAAGTAATGCAGGTGACTTCTTCAATTTATAAAATCTTTTAAAGACTAAATATGAATAATTAGACAAAGTTGTTTACAAGTTTTAAGATTTTCAATATTAAATATTTTTTAAATTTTCTTTCACTGTAACATCTTGTACAAAATAGTGTGTATAGTAACAAAATGTGATAATAATATCAAATAAATAAGATAAAATAGAGTAACTTCTAAAAATAGTCAATAAATTAAACATGTTAGCTGAGTTTATTTAAATATTTAACAATCAATCATAATAATAATTTTTGAAGAATAATTAATTGTACATAAAATTTACACTTATATATATATATGGATGAGACAGAATCCTTTGACATCGGTGTCAAACTTTAAAATTTGACATCAAATCATATTCGTTGATTTTCGTCAATCAACCGTTATCAGTTATTGAAAATTAATATTAATTAATAAATTTGATTTCGAATAAATGATAATCATTGATTGGTGGAAATCAAAGGTTAGAATTTTGTGTCAAATTTTAAAATTTGACACTGGTGTCAAAGGATCTCGTATATATATATATATCTGAGAACCGTTAAATCGAAAAAGATCAACGACTCTGATTTGTAAGCATGTGATACCATTGATCTTTTTTAATCTAACGACTTTCAGATGAGGTGTCAAATTTCAAATTTGACACCGGTGTCAAGGGATCCAACCTCTATATATATATATATATATATATATATATATATATATATATTATATATATATATATATTATATTTGAGCAAATCAAGATGGAACTTCAAAACAATTTGTTTCCTCTAATGCTCTATGGCAATCGTGATTTTAAATATTTAGTGAAATAGGAAAAAACTTTAGGGCACATTCGTCAACGTTGTTATGTTTGGTTGCCTTTTATTTAAAATTATAGGGATATGTTATTTTACCTATCATTTTGTTTGCCTACATTTGTCTACCACTCTAAAATTTCATTAGATCAGAATCTTAACTAATATTTATCTTTCTCTCTTCTTAGGATTCAGATCTAATGGTGTTTTAGAGTGGTAAGCAAAAAAAACCATACGTAAAATAACCTATCCCAAAATTATATAGAAAAATAAATTTAGAACGTGGGATAGAAGGCATTAAAATAGTAAAATCTCCAATGCCTCTAAAGACATTGATGCCTATCGTGCCCTTCATCGGATTAAGTCACCAGACATAATTGTGGGTTTAAATACACAAAAGTAATATATATATATATATATATATATATATATATATATATATATATATAGGCTTATCGTTTCTCAAGCTGCTTGAGATACTTTTATCTCCGGCTACTAAATCATAACCATATAAAGATGGATCAATGGTGATAAAGGAAGAGAGAGAAAAGAAAAATTATAATCATTCAAAGATGAATCAATTAATATAAGGAAATAAATAAATAAAACGACGTAGTTTTGGGGTAGCCGGAGATAAACTTATCTCAAACTGCTTGAGAAATATTTTTTCATATATATATATATATATATATATATATATATATATATATATATATATATATATATATATATATATACATATAGACAAATATTTCTGCAGTTAATGCAGATAAGTTATTTGCATTTACTTTCAAAATGACGTCGTTTTGAGATTGAAAGATTAGAAAATTATAATTATAAAGACTATAATAACCCTGAAATAAATTAAAATTATAAAAATATTATAATTTCCGTCCAAAAACGATGTTGTATTAGACTTATTGCAGATAACTTATCTGCAGTAATTGCAGAAAAAGGGAATCCATATATATATATATATATATATATATATATATATATATATATATATATATATATATATATATGGGGTAAACATTTCTACAGCAACTTTAGATAAGCTTATCTACAGCTGCCATTTTTAACTATATTCTCCCGGGAGAATATAATTATAGCGTTAAAGTTGCTATTTTCTCTCTCTCCACGTCAGCAAAAAAGTTCTGAAAAGTAAATGAGGAGAGAGAAAAAAGAGCAACTTTAACGTTATAACTATATTCTCCCGGGAGAATATAGTTAAAAATGACAGCTGTAGATAAGCTTATCTAAAGTTGCTGTAGAAATACTTTTGCCTATATATATATATATATGAGGCAGGATCCTTTGACACCGGTGTCAAAAAAAAGTTTGACACCTCATCTGAGAGCCGTTAGATTAAAAAAAATCAATGGTGTCACATGCTTACAAATCAGAATCGTTGATTTTTTTTAATCTAGCGGCTCTCAGATGAGGTGTCAAACTTTTTTTTTGACACTGGTGTCAAATGATCCCGCCTCTCTCTCTCTCTCTATATATATATATATGTGTGTGAGGGATCTTTTGATTTTGCTGTAAGATTTAGAAATCTTACTCCTCATCTTAACCGTTGATTTTCGTCCATCTAACGGAGTAAGACTTCTAAATCAATGGTTTAGATGGCGAGTAAGATTTCTAAATCTTATATCGAAATCAAAATATCTCTCCTATATATATATATATGGGTTTGTGTTTTCTAAAGTTACTTTAGATAACTTTATTTAATGTTCACCGAAACGACGTCGTTTTGGGACGGAAATTATGGTGTTTTTGTAATTTTAATTTATTTCAGGGTTATAATAGTCTTTATCATTCTAATTTTTTAATTTTTCAACCACAAAATGACGTCGTTTTGATGAACATTAGATAAAGTTATCTAAAGTAATATTAGATACTTTTTTCCCTATATATATATATATATATATATATATATATATATATATATATATATATATATATGAGAATGATCCGTTTACAAACTTTTTTTACAAATTACACTAAGTATGACCGGTCATACTTAGTGTAGTTTATAAACAAAAAATTTGTAAGTATATATATATATGAAAAGTGGTCAACTTACGTTAATGTAAAAATAACAAATCTATCTTATATAAAATTTAATCGTTGATCTAGTTGCATCTAATGATTATAATTTATGAATTAAAGAAATTGTTAAATACAACTGGGATAAATAACTAAAAATTGAAATTGTAACCAAAAATAGTAATATATATAAGTTTGAGATAATTTTAAGTCGATAGTTCTTGGTCAACTAAATGTGTCATTATCAATCCCAAGGTGTAGCTCAGTTGGTTAGGGTGCTGAGCTCCAGGAGTTGGGCTCGTGAGTCTAAAGAGCTTGGAGTTCGAATCTTGCGAGAAGCACTTTGGGACTAGTGGAGAAAGCCGTACCCTTCAATCCACAGTAGGGATTAGTCACATCCAGAAGAAGTGAGGATACCCTTGGGTTTACTAAAAAAAAAATGTGTCATTGATCATAATTAACTTGCAAATGGGATGGTGAGACAGTCAATGAGAGTTTTTAGTTTTTTTTTTTATCTTGATTTATGTATGTCCTTTTACAATGTTCACTCAGCTTCAAAGTATGAATTAATTCTTAAAATTAGGAGAAGCATATACATCAAGAGAGTTTTTGACCGAAAATGGGATAAGCATGGCCTAATCCAGGCTTAGAGTAATGCAGGTATTTTAGGATTTGAGAAATTTTTTTTTAGATATTTTGATAAAATTCATGATATATGAAATAAGTAAAATTTCTAAAATATCTTTATTTTTTTCTTAAATCCCAACATAACATAATTTTTTTTTTTTTTTTTAAATAACATAACATAATTTTAGGGTTGCTAGAAATAAGATTAAGTTTATCTGTTATGGTTTGCGTGAATGGAGATTCCATCCTGCATCACATTCGTAACTACAACGAGTATATTATAGGAAAAAGTTATATTTATAAATTTTTTTTTTTTATAAATTCTTACAAATCATATTATGCCTTATCGGAAAGACATTCTTAAATAAAATTTTATCGGTAAGACATAATGTAATTTGTAAAAAAAAATTGTCAATATAATCCTCCTCATATTTATATGTATAATAACAGTACTGTCAATGTCACTTCCAACATGATGGAATGTGGGATATGACACGACACAACCCTTCAATATATTAACTATTAAATTTTGATACGGTTAATAGACAATTTGATATTAAATAATATTTTAAATATATATAATATAATTTATCTTTAATACATGTAATCATTCATAATAAATCTTATAACCAATTAAATATTCAAATTTTATAAGAAAAATGTAAGGAAATATAAGTATTATATTGTACGAATGAGTTTTTGATCTTGCAATTGTTTTTTAATTATATATTCTCGAAAGTATATAGTTAAAATATTAAAGTTGTTAACGTGGAGCAGAGAAAAAAAAATAACTTTAATATTTTAACTATATACTCCCGGGAGTACATAGTTAAAAATCGTTTGAAACATGATGACATTTGATACACCCATAAATATAATACAAAAATACTTTTTCATATCAAATTTTATAATAGAAAATATTTATTTTATAAATTATTTTTTTATGTAATTAAAAAAATGAAATAAAAAAAAATTTGAATTTAGTTGACGGCAAGTGAGAAATTTTTGACCGCGCATCGTAAATTTGTCGGGAACATGTACGGGAAAACATTCAACCGCGTGTCGTCCAACACGCGTCTCACACACATTTTTCACAAAAATTAACGTGTGTCCGTGGATATTATTTATTGTGGTCTGAGACTACTATTTTTTAGATGGTCCCTTAATATAAATAAAAGGGTAAAATTGAAAAAGAGAAAAAATAATAAAGATAAAAAGTAAAGAAAATGTTATCAAAAAAAAAAAAGTAAAAAAAAAAATTGATGATGTGAGAGGGAGCACTAGATCATTCCGTGGTCTTATACTATAATAAATATTTCCGTGTCGGTGCTTAGAGTTTCAGTGGTAACCCAAATCGCTCCGAACTAACTCAGTCAGAGTCTTAGTCAATTTGTCACAAAACAGGATCATCAATTGAGATCAATGGCAGCTGCGTAAGAGATTTGTTTCTTTCATATATCTCTAATTAGTTTTCATCACTGCAATGTTGAAGTAATCAGAACCAATTCATCTTTTCTAATGTAAACCACTCTGTGTTGTTGATTTAGCGATGTTAGGACTCCACCCTTGACATCTACCTCCAACCCACCTCTCCTTTTCGATGGAACTACCAGGTTTCATTCACTACTATATTATATTATGCTCCAAGCTCTTTCATTTTTTTAATCTAAACTCTAAAGTACGTTTCACGCTTAATTCCTTTGTTTTTTATTTATTTAAACTCACTACCCCTTTTAATAATAACATGCTTTGGATTTTCTTTCAGGCTGTACATCAGTTACACATGCCCATATGCACAACGTGTATGGATCGCTAGGAATTATAAGGTTCTTTTTTTTAATATATAGATTTGTATTGTTTAAGTTTTTTACTTAATTGTCTTATTTAAATATGTACCCTTGTTTGGCTCGAACTTCTTGTCTTTAATCCCTTTTTATATTAATTTCTTTTACTTAGAGCTTGGTCACTTTCTTTCTTTGGGGAATATATTTGTTTTGATTTACACATAGAATGGGGTTGTGGTTAGAATTTGTGATAAATTGATCACGAACGCTATGATCTTATGTAAAAAATCATTTCAATCCAAAAGTTTAATCTCTTAGTGAATGATTGTTTTATATTATATTACTCTAATAAATATTATATATATTATAGGGACTACAAGAAAAGATCGAACTGGTTGCTATCGACCTTCAGGACAGACCTGTCTGGTATAAGGAGAAAGTCTACCCTGAAAATAAGGCGTGTAATTTAATTGTTAATGTTGTTAGAAAGCTTTATGGTCTGCAAATTGTTAATTTGCATGCTATGTAAACTTGATCTAGCTATTTGGATGGTCCAATTGATTGTATGAACTTCTTCCTATGTTATAGGTGCCATCCTTGGAGCACAATGGCAAGGTCTTAGGAGAAAGTCTTGATTTGATCAAATATGTAGATGCCAACTTTGAAGGGCCATCTCTAGTTCCAATTGTAAAAGCAGAAAATTCTAGTTTTGCCCATGATATAGCAGCAAAATCCACTTCTTTATTTTAGTTAAGTGATGTTTGGAGGTTTATTTTTCAGGATCCTGCTAAGAGAGAATTTGGTGAGCAGTTGATATCTTACATTGATGCGTTGACCAAGGATGTCTACGCTTCCTTCAAAGGAGATCCTGTGCGCCAAGCTAGTAAGATCTAAGTTTGTTTCATTTGTGAGAATGATATCCTAGATAGCATGGACTTATTTAAGCTTATTATTATTAAGGTGCTTCTTTTGATTACTTGGAGAATGCTCTTGGGAAATTTGACGACGGACCCTTTTTCCTCGGTCAATTTAGTTTCGTAAGTTGAAATTCAAAACTCAGAACACTTCATTTGGACAAATTACATTTACTTCTATGATCTATTTGAATACATACAAGAAGTACTATGCAATGTCTTTGTTATCGAATGATAGTTGATATTGGAGTTTTTCATTATTATAATTTATAAATCACGGTGATCATTAGGTGGATGTAGCGTATGCTCCATTTGTTGAAAAGTTCGATATTGTCTTTTCCGAGGTGTATAAGAATGACATCACAACTGGGAGGCCTAAACTTGCAGCATACATTGAGGTATATTTATGTATAAATTTATTCTTTGGCTTGTAACTTTGCTGGAGGAAATGGGAATTTAATGATCCATTTTGACATGACCAAATAATGCTTTGTTAACTCAAGGGATGTTTCGGCCTTTGAACTAATAGCTTCTGATGTATTATTGGTCTTCCTAAGGATATTCATTTTCATTATAAAACATTGTTTTGCAGGAGCTGGATAAGATTGATGCTTATAAGTCGACCAAGATTGACCCTAAGGAGTTTGCCGAAGTCTTCAAAAAACGGTTTTTGGTAATATAATATGCATAATCCATACATGAATTTAAGCAGTTTTTTTTTTTTACCTCATTTTGGGTACGAATCTAAGTAGTATTGTTTGAAAGGTTTAGGTTAGTTTCTGGCTACGTATGCTTCCGATGTCATAGTAAACTCTATATTTTTCTTTTATGCAGGCTCAGGAATGAGCATTTGATGAGAGCTGGTATTTCAGAATGAATACAGGGAAATGTGCATGAATGCGATGCTTTTGCAGTGTAATAATGTGGGTGTCAGGGTGTGTGCTATTTACTAGAATTGAAGTTAAACTTGATTTTGTAATAATAATGATTATGCCCCAGCTTGTCATGAGTGTTGTGCAATCTTGCATTATAGTGAATGGAATATATAATTGATAGAAAAATTGATATATCAAGTATTTGCGGTTAAGATTCTATATGTATTATGGGAACATAGTAAGTTTAGCTTATTTTGATGGCTTTAGATCGTAGTCTTCATGACAGACTTTCGGTCTAGCATGATAAAGAAGGCAAGGACTTCTATGGAATGCAGGGAAACCAGTAGAATCATCGCCAAGACAAAAGGCACATGAATTATGAATCCAGCAATTTGCTCTTAAATAAAAATTGAGAGAAAAATAAGTGGAAATACTATCTTAGCTCCAAGTAGAAATCGGAGCAGTTTTGTGCAACAGATGTAGAACAAAATTCCAAAAGGTTTTTCCCAACTATGCTCTGAACTGAGAGAACAACACCAAAGGACAACTGATATTAACATCTATAAACCTATATCTTGAAGCGTGTTGAGAAGTCCAATAAATAAGATATTTGAAAATTTCTCCAGAGTATGTTATATCCACCAAACATTGAGGAGCATATCACTGCCCTCTCCTGGTTCTAGGAGGAGTACCAGGAGCAAGGCGAGAGCTTTGAGCTGTCTGTGTATTGGGATCATATCTGTGTAAAGCAAGGTATGACAAAGCTGTGACAACATCAGCTATAACTGGACGCATATTAGCCTGTTCCTGAACACACATTGCTGCAACAGCAAGGGCCTGGTATAGCCCTCTTGGAGGATATTGACCTTGTAGCATTGGATCAGCCATTTGTGAAAATTTTCTTCTATCTTTAAACAAGGGTCTAGCCTGCAATTAAATCAGAGCAGTCCATCCCAAAGTCATGCATAAATTTTATTTTGAAACACTTCAATTTATTGCCAACAGATATATGCAAAAGCCAGTTCAAGAATATCAATGAGATGCAACTTAAAAAGTTCATTTAAATATGACCGCTACTTTTAGCCATCACAATAATAGGAATTTCTTTTAAAGGAAGAATTTGTTGAGAAAGGAAGAAAATATAGAATAGTAGGATCAGAAATCCTAACAAAAGAAAGGAAAACCATAAAGAGAAGAACTAAAAAGAAAATATATCAACTTGAAGGGGCTATCCAACCACGAGGACAAAATTTCTCTCAAAAATTGTCCATCCTCAATTACATACTATGTTTTGTTACTTTTCATCAAGAGGTGATAGAGAAATACTGGAATGCAAAGGATTTCTTACCACAAATTCTCACGCTTAAGTACAATTATGCAAGAATTTTTTTCCAAGATGGCCGATTCAAACAGACTAATTGCCTCCCTTAATTTTATCCAAACAGGTTACTTTTTAAGTTTAAGCTTTCATCTTGTGAATGAAAATATTAAGAAAGTTATGTATATCATTCAATTAAGAGCATTTTCACTTGTAGATTGGTCAGGGTAAAAGGGTTGGTCTGAGTAGTTTACAATTTTTGTTTTTTTGCTATGCTGCTTTTAAATCATCAGCCAATCCAAAGAGATGAGATAAATGTAGGAGTTTCTTACCCATGCAACAAGATTCTGCTCTCCTGCAGATTTTGAATTATCAATGGCTTTCCTTCCAGTAATTATTTCCAGAAGAACTACGCCAAAGCTATAAACATCTGATTTCAGAGTCAGTTGACCAGTCATTGCATACTCTGGAGCACAATATCCATAGGTTCCCATAACCCTTGTTGATACATGGGTGTTCTCCCCAACTGGGCCAAGTTTAGCCAAACCAAAATCAGATAACTTCGGGTGATAACCTTCACCAAGCAAAATGTTGGAGCACTTCAAATCACGGTATATGACAGGAGGATTAGCTTTGTCATGCAGATATTCCAATCCTTTTGCTGCCCCAGCAGCTATTTTCATTCGTGTATTCCAGTCAAGTCGTTTCTTGCCAGGAGGAATATCTGCAAATCAAACATATACAACCAATATCAACTAGAGGACAAGACAATACAAAATTTAAAGAAGAAAAAGAAAAACTTGCAAAGTTGAAATACAAATACCATGCAAGTGGTCTTCCAAGGATCCTAACGGCATATATTCATAAACTAGAAGCCTTTGATCTCCATCAGCACAATAACCAATAAGGTTGACAAGGTTAGGGTGGTGAAGTAGACTTAACATCAACACTTCAACAAGGAATTCCCTATTCCCTTGCAGTCCATTTCGGTCTAGTTGCTTAATTGCAACAACCTATATTCAAACATTAGAAAGGATGAAACATGTTGCAAACTCAAATTTACACAAATTTTAAGCAGAGTTTCATGATGGCAAAACTCAATCCATTATTCTGGCTGTTAGAAGAGATCAGCATGGAAAAGGAGGAAATGCTGAATAACATAAAAAAAGGAAGAGTTACTTATTTTCCCTGCAACTTTCTTCTATTTTTCATAAACAAATAAATCATGAGAAAATATACTCACCTGATTAATACTTTCCAAACGCCCTTTGTATACTCTACCAAAGCCTCCCTCACCCAACAGACATTCTGCTCTAAAATTTCTAGTTGCAGTTGCCAACTCACGGAAAGAGAAAGTCTGTGCAGCAATGTGATCAGGGTTCCCATTTTTAGATGTATCTTTGGAATTTGTAGATGAATTCCTCTTCAATTTCCCTATACTCAAATGACAAGAACAATGGTTTAAAGGGGAAGATGCATAAGCTACAGCAGGATTAGATCTAACTTCTAAGACGCACACATGTTAATGCAATCTCTTGGAATCATGAAAATACTACCTGGCATGTTTCATTTTCCAAGTCCCAAAAACAAATAACTAGAGATCATGCCGTAGGAAGTCCTTGTATTTTAGGATTCTGTCCAATATTACCTTAATTAGGTTGATTAGGATTGATTCTTGTAATTAGTAGTTTCCTTTTTTAACACGCAGACTATGTGTATACATTGTAATCCCTCATTATTGGAAAAATCAAGTCAATACAGAAGTTTTCACACATGCAAATATGAATCACAAAACCAGTTTTGCACAGATTATGCATTGTTTCAAAATTACCATCAACAGTACAACTTTAAACTTGGTATATTCTTTGTAATTGAAGAAACCAATGCGCTGAAAGAAAACAAAATAAATGAGAAGTCTCATATTATTGAGAAAACTAACAATATATTTTCAGATAAGTTTATTAACTTGGGAATCTATCCAAGATAAGGAAAAAAGACAGTCTAAAACGACTCAAAACAAAAGATCAAAATGCTAACAATCAAGTTCTTCAAATCCAGTACCAAATCAGATTAGCATAAAAGATTTTTCTTAGGATATATAACTAAATATAGCAGATTATTAGATAATACATACGCAGATTCCAATCCCCCCCCAACACACACCACACACACACACACAGACAAAAAATTAAAAAAAAAAATCATTTTTTATATAACAATATAAAAAAGACTGCGGTCATTAACTACATCAAATCCAAGCTATCTTTATCCAGAAAGTTCACACATCAAAGATTGCACTCAATTTTCATTTATGCCAAAAAAAACCCATATAGAACAAGAGATAAATTTAGACAAGACATATTTTATCATTAAGTGAAAGCACAATTGTCTCTAAAAGGGTCTCACTTTCCTATAATGTAAACAAAAATAAAATAAAATCAGTACCTGGGTTGGCTTTGATCTGACCAACGTGGCTGTCCTGCACTTCCATCTTTTCAATCTTCTTCTTAGTGCCTGAATTTCCAGAACAGGGAATCCAACCCATGTTTCCTCTTCCCTTTTCACTGCAGCACAGTAATCAGGAAGAACCAATCAATCACTCTCTGAATTCACAGCGAGGCTCGAAGCTAGCTACAACAATTTGGAAAAAGAACCTCCTTTGCTCTTTCTCTCTGTCTTTGATACTTTTATCATGTGTCTGTGTTTTCTGTTTTGGGTGTGTGTTTGTGTTTGTGTGTTTTTTTTTTTGTTTTTTTTTTAATTTTTTTATGGTATTTTAGTCATTGGTTTCTTTTTTGGTCGGAAAAACCCCATGATTGGCTGAAATGCGCCTCACAGGATCACCTCTTAAACCAACTTCAAACTAATCTCATATAAAATATGGGATTTACTTATCTCCCGAGACGAAATTATCTTATGTTGTGAGATAAATTAAGTGAGGTTTATTAATTTTTTTTAAAAAAAATTGATAAACATCTTTTTATATGAGTGTAACATGAAAAATGAATCTTATGTAACATAAGAATATAATTTTCCATAAAATATTTGCCTTTTTCTTTTGTCTAAGCATAAAATAATGCCTTTAGAATTAGGTTAATTTCAGTCATAGCATGTCATGCTAGCCACTACTATGTGCCCTCCACATATATATACTACTTGCTATCTATATAGGAATCTATAAAATAAGATGCTTTGTTCATTTATTAGAACAAATCCTATACACCACTTTCTTTTTTAAGGAAAAAAAATGCGATTTTATTTTAATTTAAACATGTGATGCAGTGTAACTCAATGATGTTAGTTTTGGCCGCCTTCAAAGTTCAACTTTTGGCAAACAAACTGAACAAGTAATAACAGCTGTAGATCTTAAAACACATTCCTAATAATTATTAAAAGATGGGCCTCGTGACACTATCTCAAATTTAGTTCTCTTTATTTTTTCCCATCTGGTCAATGAAAGTAAGTATTTGAAGGAAAAAGAGTGTTATCATTTTACCAACTGGATTTTTCTCTCTTTTTTAAAGTAAAGGAAAAAATGAATTAGGTCAAAACCTGGATACGCTTTCTATCCATAGGTACCTAATTGAAGGACATGTAATCATGGTGTAAGATGAAAATGAGTTTCAAACTTTCACTCTCATCTTTCTTTTTATTTCGCATTTTAACCTTTCATTTCAATTGCGCAACCAAGAAAAAGTGAAGAATGGATGTGTGTGTTTGATTTTTTTTTGTTTTTTTAAATTATTTTGTGAAATAATTAATGAAATAGATATTTTATTTATTTTTTATTTTAAAAATTAAAAATCAAAACACAAAATAAAAATAACTCATATATGTTCTCTAAATTTAATTCCAAAAATAAAAAACAATTACATTTTTTATAAAACAGGTCTTATTAAATGATTTTTTTTATTCTGAAAATCAAAAAATTATTTTTCCAAATAGATTTCAATTAAAAAATATGAGAACATGGACAGACGCTTCGTGTTTGAAAAATCTACTACACGGAGACAGCTGGTATAAAACGGCTCTATATGAAAGTGCCATCTGTTTTTGTAATACAACCATTTTTTTCTTTAATGAAAGTTGAATTAATGATATAATTTTTTATTATTTTAAGTCATTATTTTTATTTTCAAAAATAAGTTCAATATTTACAAATATACTAAACTCAGACTTTTTTTTTATATATATATAGTCAAGAGAAAGAGCTATCACACAAGGTCTGAGTTTCTTTCCAAAATAATATCACACAAGTGTTTTTTTTTTTTTTTTTTGGTACATTGCCAGGAGGTATCATCATTCAACCTTCTTCGGGCACCATGCCCTCAGGGTACGTCCCGTTTGGGCTAGCCCCTCATTGTAACAGTGGGTGCATAAGCTTCGCAACCGGAGATTCTTCGGGCACCATGCCCTCAGGGTACGGCCCGTTTGGGCTAGCCCCTCATTGTAACAGTGGGTGCATAAGCTTCGCAACCGGAGAAAGGACGAGACTAATCCCTCAACCGAAGATTTTTGGCTTATCCTCTGGCCCCCAAAGATTTTCCAAGAAACTGCTTGAGGCAGGGTTTGATCCCTGCACCAAGTAATCCCTTGGGAGCTCAGCTGCCAACTGAGCTACCCTTGGGGGTTAGTGTCTTTTTTTTTATCAAAAGGAAGTGTTATTTCCTCCGTTCCTTTTTATCAATTTTTTTTAAAAAATTATTTTGCTTATTTTTCTTTATCTCTTTAAAAATGCTGATAGTTAGAGGTGGCAAAATGGGCTCGGCCCAGAGGGCCGACCCGCCCATGCTCACCAACAATTTTTTATATCTATTATTATGTTTATTGTCTAATTACAGAAAACATAGATAGATAATAATCTAGACGCAACTATAAGAATCATTTTTGTGGATAAATATAAAAATCTATTACATGCTGATATAAAATGCTGACAGTTAGAGATGGTAAAATGGTCTCGGCCCGGAGGGCCGGCCCACCCAGCGCACCAATAGTTTTTTTTTATTCTTATGTTTATTGTCTAATTATATAAAACATAGATAGATAGTAATCTAGAGGTAACTATAAGAAACTTTTTTGTGTGGATAAATATAAAAACCTATTACATGCCGATATAAAATGCTGACAGATATATGTGGCAAAATGGGCTCGGCCCGACGGGCCGGCCCTCCCCGCCCGCCAAACAGGCGAGTTAGCCGGGCCAACATATTTTTTCCTTATGTATATTGTCTAACTATAGAAAACATATATAGATAGTAATCTAGACGCAACTATAAAAATCTTTTTTGTGGAGATATAAAAATCTATTACATGCTTATATCTGACAGTTAAGGTGTAAAATGGATTCGGTCCGGAGGGCCGGCCTACCCCGCCCGCCAACACTTTTTTTTCCTTATGTTTACTGTCTAAATATAGAAAATATAGATAGATAGTAATCTAGGTACAACTATAAGAATTTTTTTTGTTGATAGATATAAAACCTGTGACATGCTTATATAAAATGCTGACAGTTAGAGGTGGCAAAATGGGCTCGACCCGGAGGGCCGACCCGCCCATGCTCACCAACACTTTTTTATATCTATTATTATGTTTATTGTCTAACTATAGAAAACATAGATAAATAATAATCTAGGCGCAACTATAAGAATCATTTTTGTGGATAAATATAAAAATATTACATGCTGATATAAAATGCTGATATTTCTCAAGTAACCGGTTTGTTTTTGTTCCTTCATGTTTATACCTCCACCATTGTACTATTCAGAGCTTGATAGCAAGATAAATGTGTTGATTTATCGATGCGATGATTAACCAATGACGACGACAACAATTTCATTCTTTTTCCCCCGAGCATCGCACGGGTAATTCACTAGTTATATCATTAATATTAATATTAATAAGTGAAGGCCTTAGGAACGATTAATATTTTGAGTATTTTAGTAAAAAAAAAATTTGTAAGAAAAAATTATTTTTACTTGTAATCGTAGTTGTTTAATGATTTTCTTAATTTTTTATAGTAACCTTAAAATACAGATAAAAAGAAGGGGGGAGTAATTTAATTTAATTTAAATCCCAGTAAGTACCCCATTCATTATACAGATATTTTTAAATTTAGATACTTTTTTTATTAAAATCAGTTTGGAACTTTGTCACTGACCAATAAAATGGGGTTCTCTAAAAGCATAACCGTGGCTAATATTTCATTTCTTTGAAACTTAATCAAAATGATCAATCAAACTGCAATAAAAGAAGAGTTGTGCAATATAATATGGTTAGTACTAGTTAAGGAACACTTCCTTCCTGTTAAAAATAATATTATTATCTTCCATATGCGTGCTGATATAATCAATTATTAACCTAAGAATTAAATGATAATAGTTCACTTGGCCCTAGATAACTCAACAGTTGAAGATGAGAGTATATGTTTGATCCTTTGCATTACTATTTTTAGGAAGTGTTTAAAACCTTAATCTCAAGACTTATCCCGAATTGAACTAGTCGCGAAGCAATAAATTTATTAGAATATCTCAAAAAAAAAAAAAAAAACCTATCAACCAAGCAATCTCTCGCACTATTTTGTGCGTGTTAAAGATAAAAGTCTCTCTTAACGTATCACTTTTAACGTGACTACTTTATCTGATATATTCATAGCCTTTTTTGACAAAATGGTATTTGCAATAAAAATGATTAGCATATGATATGTACTACACATTAAAAAAATGGATGGAAAATTAATGTATATAATGATAAAATGGGAGCTAATAGAATATACTGATTTAGTATACAAAGGAAGCCTCCTATATAAGGTCAATAGTGCTCGAATCGGACTAGTCCGAAGGAGAAACCTGTTGAGGAGACTCAGCATACAAAGGCAGCTAGTAGAGCTGGAAAGTTACTGAAGGAAAATGGTGCCAGTGCTACAGATTCCATATTACAAATGACCAGCACCAATACTGTTATTATCATCAATAAGTTGCCGTAGAAGTAAATATCCTAGTCACAGTAGTTACAGCATTCAAAATTGTTATTATTTTCTGATACTTCAACAATCCTGAGCATACTTTATGATAACTACTGAATCATAATGTCCTTTGTTAACGCATATTGAAGTGTCAATCATGATTTATCTTTACTGAGAGAAGCCTGTGAATCTTTTTCAGAGGCCACACTTGCTGTGTTCTTTAGTGGCATCTCATGGTTGTGTTTTCCCTCATATGTAGTCACAAATGCTCTTGGGTCATCTATTGCTCTCTCCACGTGTTTGCGTACGTTACACTTTGTATTAGTACATCTATAGTAACTTCTGCAAAACAAATTAGTCGATGTTGTCAGAAAAATTTGAGATAGGAAAAAATAAAAAGATTCTATAGTCGTAGATAACAAGAATAGGTAACAAGTATGAACCTGGGATATGGATTTCCTTTCACCACCTTTTGTCCATATTTCCTCCAGCGAAAGCCATCTCCAAGTATTTCAGAATCTGTAGAACTTTGTGTCACAATGCGAGGCTCCACTAAACCTTCCTCTGACACTGCTGCTTCATTGGATTTATTCTCATTTTTCCTGAAGGATGAGAAACTATCAGCATAAATTACCTTTTAATTAAAAATTGATAATGACAATGACAGATTCGGAGAAACATAATATAAAATCATTGAAGGCTTATCACTTAACAGTTTGAGCTATTGGGTGAGATGGTTGCTTATTGTGGTTAGCTAAAAAAATTAGAATTACTAATACGTTACTGGATGCACACTTTTGTTTTTGGACATGATGGAAAATGTACAAGAAGGCATGAACCAACTACGGTAAAAACTTATTAGATGAAGACAGATAAATAGTTTTTTATATTACATTTCTAACACCATATTCATGCAAGAGTTCTAAATTTCATTAGACTTGAAGTGTGATAATGCATGTATACATCTGTTGAAATTATCATGAAACTAATAACTTATCCATTTATCTAACATGACATTAGAAAGTTATTGCAAACTCAATCAGCTTCTCTTGATGATTTTCATTTTGTTAGTATGCTTGTATTTTACCTTCTTTTACTCTTGTGTTCATGTTCCTCTGCCTCAAATCCCTTGCTTCCTTCCTCGCATTCCCCACTTAGACCACATGAATTTTCTGGGCTTTCTCCACCAGCATTGATTGCACCAATTAGAACAGAAGCATTAGCCTGTGGAGCTTTGACATCATAAGCTGAATTCTCAGACAGTCGTGTGTTATTCTGGTTCTCTATTCTACCTTCATTGCATTCATTCCTCTCACTGTGACTATTACTCCAAATATCTTGAACCATTCCATCAGACATCATTCCTGATCCTTGTGTCCCTCCTGAGTTACGCTTAGGAAGCTGTGGCTTTGAATGGTTGTGTTCACCTTTATAAACAATTTCTGCAATCTGCCCATCAAATGATCTTTCTACCTTCTTTTTCACTGGACAATTAGGATGTGTGCACTTATAATAACTTCGAGGGTACTCACTTCCTTTTACTTGCTTCTGCCCATATTTCCTCCAATTATATCCATCATAAGAAGGTCGATCACCATTAATTGTGGATGTCAAAGCTTTTTGATCCTCCTCTAGGTTCTGCTGTACCATCTTACAAGGTTCAGTAGTTTGATTTGTTTCTGCATGCGGGGTAAGGCTCTGATGAAGATTTGAGTTCATATAGATTCTAAATTTTTCATGGTCTGGATGTTGAAGATTGGCCTGCATTGATTGCCGTGGTTGTTGTTGACTGGTACTGCAATTTCCCTTCTCCAAAAGAAGAAAAAAGAGGTCAAGGCCTCAAATATAAATGGTTTTTGGAACAATCTCAGAACAACAACACCATTCAATAACTGAATATAGTTGTAGAATTATATCTATCTATTACCTTGATTGTTTGTATCAAATCTTGTAAAAATTTAACAATAAGAATATAATCAAATGATTCTTATATATATAAAGAAGCCTTGATAGTAGATGTAAAGAACCTTGAGGTCACCACCCCAAAAGCTAGCTCGAAGGGTAGGAGTGCCCAAGATCTTATAAAGACCACATTAGTTGCTCATATAACCAATGTGGGACTATTATCTCAACACGCCCCCTCACACAAGAGCCCATTGGGCTTGAAGAGTGGACAATGCAACAGGCGAGGCTCTGATACCATGCAAAGAACCTTGGGATACACCACCCCAAAAGCTAGCTCAAAGGGTGGGAGTGCCCAAGGCCTTATAAACTCCACATTAGTTGCTTATACAACCAATGTGGGACTATATATCTCAACACGCCCCCTCACACGAGAGCCGATTGGGCTTGAAGAGTGGACAATGCAATAGGCCCAGCCTACCTGTGCTAAGAGACGCCACAAGAGAAAATGGGGGGCGGCGAGGCTCTGATACCATGTAAAGAACCTTGGGATACATCACCCCAAAAGCTAGCTCATAGGGTGGGCACACCAATGTGGGACTATTATCTCAACAGTAGATACTAACCATATTTGCCAAAAGAGAAACAGTTGTTTTTGATACAAGTTTTGCCATGGGCTTGTATATGAGAGACTGATTGGTGTCAAGATTAGGACTCTTGTCGGAAGAATTACTAAGTGCAGCTCCAAAAATCTCAGCCTGAAATGGTCAAACACCACAGATGTTGGAAATTAAGAAGCTTTGCAAAACTGAGTTTGTCCTATAGTGCATTGAAAGTTCACCTGAGAAGAATCAAATCCAGAAGGTGGGCGATTCCCTGCAGGCTTGAACCTCACTGTCTTTGGTCTAATGGCAGAAACTGTAGTTTGAGAAGATGCAATAGGGGGAGAGGCATTGATTGCACCTGCTAGGAGCTCTGAGAAAGATCTGAAAGTAGAACAAGTAGGCCTTGAAGCAACTGGTTTGGCAACAACTACCCTTTCTGCTTCCTTAATATCCATCTTCAATGACTATGTTCTGCAAAGTATGTTCCCCTTACGTGTGATTCTGTTTGCAAGAAAAAGAACTTGCTTTGCACTTTCCAAAACTCAGCAGCGATTTATTTTGATGATGACTTCAATTGACCCAAGATAAAGATCACCTAGCAGGTATAGTTAATTAGCATTACAAAGTAAAAACTATAAAGGTTCAACATTCCCAATCCAAAAAGAAATTGTATAAACTTATAAGTCTCGCTCATGCTACTCTACTTATTAAAGATAGCCAAAGAGCACGAAATGTAGTCCGGTAGTTATTACATTTGAGGATAATATATGATGTCATCATAACATAGCCAACCTTTTTCCAATTAAGATAAATTGTGGTAATGGAAAAAAGATACTGAAGGCTCAGAGAGAGGTGAAAATTCAGAACTATTTTCTCCTCTACCAGGAGAAAGATTTATTATACTAGACCACATTCTTCTTTGTTCTTCATGGGAATTTCCATTATGCATATATAATGAATTGTACTCAATGGGGAGAAATCATCAGTTATTTGTAATACAAAAAGTTGTGAACATGTTATGTATGCTGCTTCTGTTCCCAATCCAAATAATTTGTTCTTTTCAACTCAACATCAAAGAGAAGCTATATCATTTTAACTATAAGTACAAAATCGCTAGTTTCTGCATCTTGGTCTAGGCAATCCTTTTATGCTTGATAAAACTCAAGTAATTTATGATACCAGAGAAAACTTTCAAGCAAGTGCTGTTACTTATTTTACTTTTTTCCCGGGTAAAGATGTTATCTCTACAATACAAGTTCTGTCCCACTTCCTTTTTAACTTAGCAAGTGTTGAAATATGGGCGCAAAACTTACAATTGATGCATTCCCACTGTTTACAATTTCACATTACAACCACTCAAAAGGAACAGAGCTGCATGCTGCTTTTTTTTTTTTTTTTTTAATGGACATTGATACAAACATAATATATCAGTCTGAAAACAGTTGAAATCTTGACTCTACTAACTATAAATGATATAATCCTTATAGGATAGTTTAAGGCTGAAAACATATTTAAACACATCTCATTTGAAATTTTCTCAAACATGTTGGTTTGTTTTCATCTTTTTATGCTATGTTTTCTGCTAAGGGGAAGTAGTGTTATCTGTAATTAAGAAGAAAAATGATTGAAAGAACTAATCAGAAAGCCAAGAAAGAAACAACATGCTAAATAGAGAGAGGTTGGCTTTAGTAAATTCTGATTTCCCAATATTTTATAAAACTGAGTTTCATCTCTCGAGCATTGCAAGGCCCAGAATGTTATAAGAAAATAAAAAATAAAAATCCAAAACATATATGGCCATAAAAAACAAAGATATAAAAGAGCCTCATGAATTCAAGAATTTGACTTTGGAGTTGGGAGAGAGAAACAACTTACTCAAACATAAGAAACCTGGGTTCCACTACTAAGGTTGTCCTCTCTTTGATCAACACTGTCCTTATTGTATGTATATACAAATCAGACAGAGAGTGAGAGAAGGAGGGAGAGAGTGATTTGGTTCCAAAGTTCTGAATCCAAATGATAATGTTCCTTTTTTAAATTTTACAATACATGCTAGTTCTCCCAATAATACAGTCAATGATTAAAACTATTTTTAAAAATTTATTAAAAAAAATGAATATAATTCCATTGTTATTGGGAATTGGGAATCTTGGGATTGGTGGCTAGCATTAGCAGTGGGAGCCAACCCCCCAAAATTGTACGGACAACTAACTATCTATGTGTTCACTTTGACCATTCGTTAAAATTCACTGTCTACTACATCAGTATGGTGACGATGCTATGCAGAGAGATTGGGACACATGTCAGATCTTGATGCTGTGTACAAGCCTTATTCAAGTTAGCTTATGCAAGTTCAAGAGTTTGTTGTGCTTCTTGCGGAATACATCTTTGTATTACTATTGTAACAAAGACTCAGTGTATCCCATCAATAAAAATATTATACGTTAGTTAAAATTCTTTTTTTTTTGTCAAATTTTTTTTCTCTCCTTTGATGTATAATGCTGTCATTAATAAAATACACTAAATCTAGATACAACAGTAAACCAAAGATTTATTTTTCTACGAGATAAGATTCCTTTTCCACCATTAAGTCAATAACCCCATATGTACGCAAAAGCTTCTATAACATAAGTATGGCAATATCTTCTCCTTCCTTTTTAAACAAGGTTTTTTTTTTTTTAGTGTTCACATTCTTTTGATAGACTAATTCGAAATTGAAATGTGGGATTAACCTTTATCATGAAGGGAAAAAAAAAAACAACCTAATATTTGTTGGGAACTCGATTCCCTCAAGTCGGCTAAACAACCTTTTTGCGGAAGTCAGTCAATGAGATCCTGAATCTCGGATCTCGGCAATTACCTCGGCCTGAACTTCATCTGGTCGGGTAGCGCAGCGGAAAATAAAAAACACAAACAGGAGAGAGAGAGAGAGAGAAGGACAACACAAACAGATTTTAACGTGGGAAAACCTTCTTCAATGAAGAAGTAAAAACCCACGGGACCTAGTCCAGATCAAAAATTCACTATGAAAATAATGGTTACAAATAATCAAAATCACCAATGTGGTGGTTAACTCAACCTCTCCAACAATGGTGATAATCAGACCTCCCTAGAGATGTTTCACTCAAACTCTCTAGAGATCTCTCAAACACAAAGCGTAGATCTTTGGTCTCAAATCTCTCAAGTATCACTCAAGAGTCTCTCAAATATTTTTCTTCATCTAACCTAGCCTCCACCAACAACTAATGAATATATAGAGGAGGTGAGATCTAGAGTTTAGAATTTTTAGGAAATCCCTCTATGGGCTTGGACTTAGCATTGAAGGAGGAAGCCCAACAAATCTCCCCCTCTGACTTCAATACGTCGGCTTCAGCATCAACCCGGTCCTTCATAGCGGTCTTCAAATTTTCTTGTTGGAACCGGCTTCGTCATCATATCGGACCAATTTTGGTCAGTGTGCACTTTGACGAGTTCGAGCTCTCCACCTTCCACCACATCCCGGATCCAGTGATACCTCACATCAATGTGCTTAGTGCAGGAGTGGTAGGTCGAATTCTTCGCAAGATGGATTGCGCTTTGATTGTCACAACCCAGCTCGTACTTGTCTTGATCATGGCCGAGTTCCATGAAGAACTTCTTCATCCACAACATCTCTTTGCTTGCCTCAATAACGGCAATGTACTCAGCCTCAGTTGTTGATAGTGCAACATATTTCTGAAGTCTTGATTGCCAAGAGACAGCTCCTCCGGCAAATCTCATCATATATCCCGTCGTCGATTTTGTCGAGTCGAAATCTCCCCCTAAATCAGAATCTGAGTAGCCTTGCAACTCAGCTTTTCCTTCTCCAAATCGGAGACATAAGTCGGTCGTACCTCAGAGGTACTTGAATATCCACTTCACTGCTTCCCAGTGCTCTTTGCCGGGGTTTGACAGATACCGGCTTACCATTCCAATAGTATACGTCAAGTCGGGTCTAGTGCAAACCATTGCATACATCATGCTTCTGACGGCGGATTGGTATGGGACCTTCATCATCTCATCTTTGTCTTCATCAGATCTCGAACATTGCTTCTGGTTCAGCTTTATATGTCCGGCTAGGGGGTGCTCACTGTTTTGGCTTTGTCCATGCTGAATCTCTTCAGAATCTTCTCAATATACTTCTCTTGACTCAGCCACAGTAGCTTCTTTTGTTTATCTCGGATAGTCTTGATTTCGAGAATCTGCTTTGCAGGGCCGAGGTCCTTCATTGCGAAGTACGAGCTCAACGCCTTTTTCAGGGCGGCTATCCTCGATTTGTCTTTCCCTACAATAAGCATGTCGTCAACATATAACAACAATATCAGAAAATCTCTAGCCTCATACCTCTTCACAAATACGCAGTGGTCGGCTTCTGTCTTCTCAAACTTGTGATCAGTCATGAATGATTCAAACTTCTTGTATCACTGCCGAGGTGCTTGCTTCAAGCCATAGAGGCTCTTCTTCAATCGACATACCAAGTCTTCTTGGTCTGGAGCTCGGAATCCCTCAGGTTGTTCCATATATATTTCTTCTTCTAAATCACCATGAAGAAATACCGTCTTCACGTCCATTTGTTCTACCTCGAGGTCCATCGAAGCCGCCATGGCTAACACAGTTCGGACCGAGGTCATTTTCACTACAGGAGAAAAAATCTCCTCAAAGTCTACACCCTTCTTCTGATTGCAGCCTTTCACTACAATCTGGGCTTTGTATCTTGGCTTCAGCCCGTTCTCTTCATTCTTAATCTTGTAGGCCCATTTATTTTTCAGAGCTCGTCTTCCTTCAGGCAACTCGGTCAGCTCATAAGTCTGATTCTCGTGCAAAGACTTCATCTCGTCTTGCATTGTCTTTTCCCATTCTTCTTTCTCTGAGCTCGTTACAGCCTCATCATAACTCTGAGGCTCACCGTCTTCAGCAACAACGGTGTATTCATCAGATGGGTACCTTATAGAGGGTATTCTTTCTCGAGTTGGATATCTCGGTTGTTCTTCAGCTAGAGAACCCGGTTCATCATTTTCATCCTGGGTCTCATCATCAACTCGAACCTTAGTGTCTTGGTCATCATCAGCTTGTTGCTGGTCATCATTTTCTTCATTCTCTTGATTTTCTCCCCCTGCTTCAGCTCGGACAGGAGGAACGGGTTCTTCACGTCTGAAAGTAACCCATACTTTGGGCTTCGAGATGTCATGAATGGTCTCATCTTCATGAAAGATCACATCTTGGCTTCTCACTATCTTCTTATTGATTGGATCCCAAAGTCGGAACCCGAACTCACATCTCGGTGAATCAAGATAGATGCATTCTTTTGTCTTCGCATCGAGTTTTGCCCTTTCATCTTTAGGGATATGCACGAAGGCTCGACATCCAAACACCTTCAGTTGATAATAGGCCATTTTTCGACCTGTCCAGACTTCTTCTGGAATTTCTCCTTCAAGTGGTCATGATGGTGAGAGGTTGATTAAATCAACAGCAGTTCTGACCATTGTTGTCAAAAACTAGTGTAAAAACGTAAAAACTTACGTTTTACGTTTTTACTGGAGTGGTGCGTGTTAAAACTCAAGTAAAAATTGTCATTGGTAAAAACTGGTAGAAACGCCGCGTAAAAACGGTAAAAACTTACATTTTTACCGTTTTGACCGTTTTTACTTAAAATTAAAAATTTAATAAAAAAAAGATTTACAAAAAAAAACTTAATTTTTCGTTTTCCCCAAATCATATTCACAATATCTTAATATCTTTTTATTTGGATATATGTTTTTTATAATTATGTCTTATAAAGCTGCAATTCTATTATAAGTTATGCTATGAGAATCATTTTGTGTTTTTGGATCATTGTGTGCATTGAAAGAAGTGAAATTATATCCTGATGAGCGATGATCCAAAATCTGCAGAGTGTATAAAGCAGTTAGAGCAGATTGGTTATTCATTACTTGTTAATTATCACTGTTTATAATTTTGATACTTGGTTATGAAAAATAATTTTCCTTTTTAGATAGATAAGTGGCTCAAAACACATGTTCATTATGTGATAATTTTTTTACAAGCATATATATAATTTTGTATCTTTACCTTAAGTGGTAGAAAGTAGAAACTTTACGTTTCGTGTCGTTTCTACGTTTTACGTTTCTGCGTTTTACATTTCTACCACCTCTTTCCGTTTCTACGTAGAAACTCGAGTTTGACAACATTGGTTCTGACGGCTTCTCCCCAGAATGATTTCGGCAATCCGACATTGGATAACATGCTTCAGACCTTCTCTTCAATAGTCCTGTTCATCCTCTCATCAAATCCATTCAACTGTGGAGTCTTGGGGGGCATCTTCTTAAGTCGGATCCCGACCGCTCTGCAATATGCATCAAAAGGGCCGTAATACTCACCACCATTGTCAGATCTGATCACATTCAATTTCTTTCCAGTCTCCCTTCCAACCATTGCATGGAATTCTTTAAAGGATTGGAGTACCTGGTCTTTAGAATTCAACAAATATACCCACACTTTGCGGGAATGATCATCAATGAATGAAACAAAGTATTGAGCTCCTCCAAGGGATCTTTCCGACATGGAGCAGACATCAGTATGGACGAGGTCAAGAATATACCTGTGTCGTCTGGGTTGATCCGGTCTCACAAAAGAAACCTGGTGCTGCTTTCCAGCTAGACAGTGCGTGCAACTCTCCAACGCTTGGCCTTTCAACTCGGTCAGTAATCCTTTCTTGTTCAGGATTTGGAGCCCTTTCTCGCTCATGTGGCCGAGGCACTTGTGCCATAGCTCCAAACTAGGTTCATCTCGGACAGAATTGGCTTCTCCGCCATTGATCTTTCCTTGCACCACGTACAAGGAGCCTTCCTTCTTACCTCGGGCCACGACCAAGTTTCCCTTGGCCAGCTTCCATCTAACACTACCAAAGTAGTTCACTAACCCGGCATCGTCAAGTTTGCCTACCGAGAGGTACATGCCTCACATCCTTCAACACAAGTCGGCATCCGACATCTGTGGTCAGGGTTACATCAGC